CTGCAAAAACTATTTTGTAATTGGATATGGAAAGCGTAGGTGACGCGCAGACAGTGACCGAAATACGGAACCTTTGGCCCTGAACAGGTGCACATCTTCTTCCTTTTAATTCCTCAGCATATCCTAAGAAGTGTAGTACTCCCTTCTTTCCCTTTTTTGCGCAATAATTGCTTAAATTCGTTCCGACGCTGAGTTCATCGAGGCAGTAACGCCCTGGGAACGACGTCCGTCGTTTTTTCCCAATTTTCGAAGCTTTTTCTTCGTTCCGGAGGGTGGCGCCCTCTATGAAAGTAATGTCAAGTCGAAACGTGCGCTTAGTGAAAGAAGGGATAGCTTTCTCTCGATTAGAGCGGCTTCATTAAGCTAATGGCAATATCTTTGGACAAAGATAGCCAATGTCCAGCACGTATTCAATTTTTCACGCCCATTCGCTAATCCTCTCCGCTTAGTAAATTATCGTTATAAAAGCTTTCATAGTCTAATAATAGCGTCTTATTTACGTTTGAGAACTGTTTTTTTCCGTTGTACCTAGAGTCTAGTTTGTTTCTACATATATAAGCCCAGAGGCGGATGCGGCCAGATTGCTGTAATTGGAACCGACACTCTTACGACATCGATGTTAAATTGGTCAAGAAAACAACGTTTGCCTGCAGCGTTGCTAATCAGGGCGTCTAATACAATGGTCACGCCACAACACGCTACTAGCGTTAATCAAATCAGTCGTCGTTCTCTGTGTTTTCTTGTTTCTTTCATGTTTATTAAGGTAGCGTCGTTACATATAGAGAAACTAAACAGAGCGTTTCCTTTTAAATCGCGGCCTGTTAACGTTTCCGGCTCATTACACTCGCCCTTCCGCCCGGTTGGCGGCCAACGGCCAGTTTAAGACGCCACCCAGCTTATTTAGACGCTTGACATTTATAAGGCGACGACGGCCAGCTACTAATGGCCACTTGTTGGATGGACGCGATGGACGATAGCCGGCTAATCAACTACCTTCTTGTTGGAGTGCCAGAGGCGTCTCCTTTTCTCCTTTTTCATACGCATTCGTACATTAATATGCGAAGAAATAAAGCCGCCGGACTGATTAATCGAAGCCTTGCGCTTGACATATTCTTTTTCCGATGCCTTTCTCTACAACGTTTGTTTCTGATCAACTTTTTACCATACGCCTTTTTACCCTTTATTTTTTTTATCATTCTACTAGATCCCGCGAAATATACCCTAAAAATTCATTAATTAGACCCTATCTGCCTTTTCTTGTTTTCTTTTTTTTCACTCTATCTCTCCCAATTATCTCACAAAGATGTCAATCTGTACACAAAAGTCTGTGTATAGTACTAACGAACGAAACTGACGACCGACCCATTGAACGAGTGTGTGAGTGACTGACTGACTGACTGGCTGAATGAATGAATGAACGAATGAAAGAATAAATTCGCTAATTTTCTCATTATCAAATCGTGTTCAAATTTACCGCGCGGGTGCATGAATTTTTTTTTCTTTATCTTTTGTTTTTTATGTTTTTTTTTAGTTTTTCTGCTTTAATACAAATAAAACAAATAGGTATACATATTTATATAAATACATATACGTATATATATATATATATATATATATATATACATAATATACTTATATAGTAATTTATAACGTTTATACAAATACGTAGCTTTAGGATTTCAAAAGCTGAACAATAAATTAATTAAAACATGGCATCGTACGTATACAAACCACGAACGAATTTTAAAAAAAATATAAAGAAAAAAAATAAAGAATGTGCAGTTTTAGAACGAGTTTTTGACAACACTTACGGCGTCTTTGTATACATATTATACATATACATATACATATATATATATATATATATATTATGTAATATACGAGTGAATATAATATTTATCATATACGTAAATATAATTTTCACACAAATAACAACAAAAATAAAACAATAAAACAATAATTTATATACAATAGATCATATATAGATATATATATAAATATTTTGTTCACTTTGTTTTATCTTCATTTTTGGACAACGGAAAGGAAATGCTCAACTTTCACTCTCATTCCCTCTTACAAACATTATACATATTATGTTCAAATATATATATATATATATATATCTTCAAATATGACTATGTTTTGTTTTTATGCAAATCTTAAAAAGTAAGAGAGGCAAATGGATAAAAAGTAAAAGGGAAAAAAATGCTTTCTGATTAGAATAATCTAACGCGGAAATGTTTGATGAAGCTGTCGTTGCGTGTGAATGTGTATACAATACATGAATGTAAACAGATCCGTCTGCGTCGCACGAAAAATAATTCTTTGCCCCATTTTATACTGCAGCAACTGGGCAAACGAGGGCAGTTGAAAAGATGTATTACATAACTAAATATGTTCCTACGTTTTTTCTTTTATATTAAACCATTATGGATTTGTTTTTACGTATGTTTTAGTTGTGTAGATTGTTCACGTACATAGTACATAAAGACATATAGAGAGATAAAGAGACCTGTATATCGGGTGCTAGCGTGCTTCTCACCGGGTAGGCGGCCAGCTATATGAGCAAGTTTATGGCACTAATTACCCTGATTATGATAAGGACGCCTTTTGCTTGTCACCGTACAAGGCGCCTACTGCTGCCGCAGCTGTTAAAGGCAAATGCGGAGCTCGAATTGCAGCTTGTACTGCAGCAGCGGCTCGCTGATTGTCCACGCATTTTCTCATGTGCTTCTCCAAAGTTGATGGAACAGAGAAGGGCATTGAGCAAAACTTGCACCTATAAACGTCCTTACCCATTCGCCCGTGAGTCTTCATGTGCCTAGTCAATTTGGAAGACTGCGCGCACGCGTACGAACACAATTCGCACTTGTAAGGCTTTTCGCCCGTGTGCGACCGTCTGTGAACCGTCAGATTCGAACAGTTTTTGAACACTTTTCCACAAAACTCGCATGTATCGTTTCTTCTATCTTTTCTACCGGTTCCAGCTCCTCCACCCGTGATCCCATTTCCCCCGCTTGTAACTCCGGGTGCGATACTGCTATTTTCCGATTTGTTAGCGTCAACACGCAAAGCACTGCCGTTCAAAGCAGGCGCCGCGCTAGTTGGTAACGTCGGATGGGCAGTTGGTAAAATAAAATCGGATTGTTGCTGTTGTTGTTGTTGGAGGGCACGGAAGACGTCTTGGGCGGACGATAAAGCCTGAGTAAAGGGCCAGGTTAATGGATGCGGATATAAAGTATCTATAGGGTTTGGAATTCGATTGGGTTCCTTTTCCAATTTAATTCGCTTCGTTTCCACCTCTTCCTCTTGGCTATCCTGACTGGTGCTGACCGATGAGGAAGTTCCTACACCACTACCGCAGCCATTTCCTCCAGTGCCATTTATTGACCCATTAATTTGATGGGGGCTGTATGTCCTTTTCTTTTTCCTTTTCCTCTTACCCTCTTCCAAAGCTTTCCGCACGGAATCGCTGTAAGGAGGTAATTTAGCCAAAGTTCGATCGCCCACCGATTCGTATCTCATTCTCATTTGCCTAACGTGCGTTTCGGCTTCTTCCTCCATCTCTGCTGCTGACTTTTCGTCAATTCCATCAAATACGTCAAGCTCATCCTCTTCCGAATCGGAATGCGAATCATCGCTGATTTGGAAGTGAACGGCCAAGTGACTCTTTAAAGAGACCGCCGAATAAAAGGCTCGCGTACATAAGTAGCATTTGTGAGGTCGTTCGTGAGTATGTTCTTGCCTCGAATGGAGGTTGAGCAGCGTGGCGAACTTGAATCGTTTGCCGCATACCGAGCACGTCAGGTCGGGTGGGCGTTTAGTAGGTGAAGAGGGCGTTCCCGGGGACGGTCTAGGGCTGCTACTCGAAGACGAGGGTACAGTGCCTGAAGGCGGGCTAGAGACGTTGAACGGGGACGCTGCAGAAAACGGTGGCGTTTGCTTACGAGCTGAGGGGCTAAGTCCGGCATTACCACCTGCCAACTGTCTTAGACGTTGAGAATAAAAGTCGACTTCGGTCGAGTTGGGCCTTAGGTGATGATGAGCAGCCGCGAAACTCGATAAAGCGGCCGCGTTGTGCTGATCAAACGGGCTTGCTGGATGAGCAATCGACGCCAAATGCGCCATTCGCATTCGTTGCATTTCCAATAATTCGTGGAAATGTGGTTGTGGGAATGCAGCATGAGTAGGTCCAGTTGACGGTCTTTCAGCCAGATGAGGCATTCTAAAGAAGAAACCAGGTTGAGGAACGCTAGCAGTGGGTGGTATGGGTAGGCGACCGCTGCCTGTTTTGGTATTCGTTTCTGGGGGCAATTTGATCTCAGTACCGGGCGAAGATGGCGATTTCTTTCCTAATTCAAATTCCTTGTTTGCCTCCTCTAATTCTTTCTCACTATCTTCCTTTAAACAACTCTCTGCGTCTTCGTCAATTTCATCATCAAACAACTGCATATCATGTTCGTCTTGTATATGCTGAACGAGTAGCCACGAAGATGGAAGTACCTCGCCACATCGGCAGCAAGTCAACGAATTCGGCTCTATAATAGGTCGGAAAGAGGGAGGGGAAAAAAAGGAAAAATACGTTAATTATAATCTATATTGATCTCGGTATCGGGCGAATCGATTCGGTCGCTCCAATCTTTACTTATTTTTTTCATTCATTTCCCGTAAAACATATTTATATCGTCCTAAATCTGTACGCGATTCGCACTGACGCTATCATTACGAGCGAGTTAAAGGAGAATGGAAGAGCGTCAAGCGCAATCATACGTCGTTGCCCTCTTCCTTAATACAAAGTTGTTCCCGTATTTATATATATATATATATATATATATATATATATATATATATAAAGCGGAATATAATATTACAAATAAACGTTGTACATAGTATTTATTATACGCTCTAAATGATAAAGAATCTAGTAGCCGAGTTTGTATACATAGTATAGTTTGAAACGCACAGTTTATAGATTGTTAATTATCCGTGTTATCGTTAGAAAAGAGAACTAGAAAGTATAGGCAAAAAAAAAGACAAAAAGTAAAAGTTTTACACCAATTCACCCCGAATGTGTAAACAAATAGTTTCTTTGATTTGAAAATGAATGTAGGCTTATATAACATTAAAAAAATTCTTTGAACGCCCCTTGTATTGAATGGATTGGGCGCGAGGTAACAGGCTGCAACCTGATGGATCAAAGATCATTTGCGTGGAATGCAGCGGTTTGCTGACATGGAATAGCCTCGTATGCTTACATTAGTTCTATATTATTTTCTCTAACGCGGAGCACGTTCATTTCGATTATAACGATCGTTTCATCGCCCGGGCGTTCCGGCGTCGACTGGCGCCACCTGCTAAAGTCTTTATTCGGTCGATTTAGTATAGGGGGAAAAGAGAGAAAGAGAAAAAAAAACCAAATAGAAAAGTAATAGTAATAATGTTGTAAATAGTAGAGAAAAATAATGGAAGAGAAGGGATAGTAGAAGTAGTTGTTGGGTAGAGAAAAAAAGATGATAATAAAGAAAAAAATTCCTCCCTCCCCTTTACTGTGTGATTATTATTATTATTATTATTTATAGATAGACGAATCTGTAAGCACCTAGTGTTTGAATGCAATGACAGTGTGTGACACATTTTGAATGAAATTGTTAATGAGTTGGTCACCTTTGCTATTTGGCTTGTCAACGTCGATGTGCAACCGGCCGTAAAAAAGGACAGGGTGCGGAGGATTTTGGGCTTCGCTTCTCTCTTTTCGTTTATATTGGTCGCTGTCAAGCCTTAGAGGTTAATGGCAAACATTCAGCATTAATAAACAAAGAGGGAAGAAAACTAGAAGAAGAGTAGAAAACGAGGGACAGATGCCGCCCCCTGGTGATTTGGTTACTAAAAGAAAGGGGTAAGGGAAAGAAGGGGTATGGCTGCTGTTAATAAATAATTTTTGCGTCGGCTAGGGCGTCCCTCCGGCATTGCGGTGGTCGACGAAAACGGTAGCGTGCAGCAGCTGCCCGACGTCCAGTCTATCAACTGTCCATTACATGATTGCCCGCGCAATATGGCGGCGGGCAGATGCAAACAGCAATTGTCTATTCCATCCAGGTGTAGGTAGTGCCAGACAAAACTAAATAGTTCAACAATTCCTATTTCCTGAATGGCGTTTTGGCTTTGAGAGGTAAAGAGTATAAGGTGACGTTGGGTCATCTGACCATGCGCTCGAGCGTGGGGGACGTGTGTGTGAGAACGCGTCCTTAGGCGGGCAGGGAGAAGAGTCGATCCGTTGGGACGTTCCGGCTCTAGGCTACTGTTATGCAACTTTCGAGGGCCGGAAGAGACGCTACGGGCGGAAGCGAGAGCCACTCGGCCGGCGCCACGCTCTCCATTACCCGTCAACGCCGCTGGCAACAGTGACGCTTTTGAAGGTGACGGGAGAGGCGTATTTTTTACACCTGTATCAGGCGCTACATCGCTTGACCATTAGCGACGATGGAGGCGTGAGCGCATCAAAGCGGCTCGGCGTTGCAGAGCCGGGATTAAGGCGTCATTAAGCGTCACTGACCGTCGTCAGGTCACGCACAGCCGGCTGATGGGGGAGATTTACCACGTCGCATGTATTACATAAAAATAAATATATATATATATATATATATATATATTGTATCGCTAGATACTACTGTTTCTTACTTAGTACCATATTTATATGTATAAGTATATATACATATAGAAATAGATTAAATAGATGTTATACATGTATATATTTATACATGTTAACAGGCGTCTTTTTTTGGCAATAAATTACATACAATGACACGTTTAGTCTGGTAGACACACTTACGCACAACTTCATATTGCACGTAGCCCGATTCGCTCAATCAATGAACAAAGACAGCCGCCATGATGTCATGTACACGCAACACTTTTTTGCAGAGTGCCCTGTAACCACGGTAACGCTTTATGCGTGGACAGCAGTTGAGTAAGACGGCGTAAGCGTGCGTGCTGTCGACGCCGCAAGACAATTGAATTTCTTTTTCTTTTCTCTCTTTTTTTTTATTATTTTTTATCCCTTTCCCCCTTTTCGGCCCCCTTCCAACCCTCATCCATTCTCCCATTCCCCTCCCCCTATCCAGTCTTCCGCCCCCCTTCTACTACGGAGGTAGTCGTTTTAAAGGAAAATATTTCACACGCAGACAAACATATCCAGCCTAGTAGTAATAAAAGCAGGGGGCATGGGGAAAGGAAAAGGGGGAAATGAGATTACACCGAAAATGATTAAAAAATAAGAGAAAACAGGAAAGGTAAGTAAAAACATGAATGATCGAATGAGAGTTCTGTTCTGGTCAGTCTGTGTGACCCTACCAGGCAACCGTCTGTCGTGTTTGCGTAATACAACAAACGAGACGTGCGCACGCATTGCAGTTGGTGCGGTAGCAAATGTGTGTGTGTGCTAAAAAAGAGTGAAAGAGAAAAGAGAAAAACAGAGGAGAGAAAATGTAATTGTGTTACATAATCATACATACATATCGTATGTATCCCCATATTTTACTGATAAATTCCACTTTTATATGACTGCCTTTATTATATATTTATATTTTTAGAAAAGTAGGCTAAAACTAGGATAGAGAGGAAAAAGAGAGGGGAGAGAGATCAGCGGTCAGTGCCAGGTAAACGATCAGGCAAGTAAAGAAGCGAAGGGAAAGGAGAGGCGGGCGCTAGAGGGTTAAACTGTTGTGCAACGTTGGGCAAGCTGCTATCGATCGTCTATGACCAGCGCCCAGCAGCGGCGCCAACTCACCACTCAAGTTGTCCTCGCTACGTTCCGCTTGATCGATTATAAGCGGCCCGTGGTCAGTAGTGAGTGCCCGGTTCCCAGGCTTCTCTTTTTATACTTTATTTTATTTTTTTTTATCATTTTATCCCTCTATTCGCCCCTTCAACAGCCCAACCTTCCTTCTTTTTCTATCCTTTCTTTCATATATTCTCTTTCTCTTCTCCACAAGTCTATAGGCCGCCTACCGTGGGCACCACACCACGTACAATTCAATGATCGTTCTATAGGCGCCTTTATCAAGTGCGCACCACTGGACATTATTACGTCCACTAAGTAGGTGGCGTTAGCTCGAATTAAGATAAGCTTAGCTATAGAGTGGACTTTGAATATCTGATTTATCAGTCAGTCACCGCCGCCGCTATTCTCTTTTATCCTTTGACCGTGTGTGTGTTATGTTTGCTGGCGGAATCGGCCAGTTTTGGCTTGTAGCCAGGAAAAAAAGAGAGAAAGCACCTGCGAAATTTCTTATATACAAGTTATTTTTTTCAAAGATATGGACGACTTAATGCCCGTTTAATTATAAACACAAAGTCAGTGTATATATGTTACATTCGTCCGTATTTAAGGCGATCAGGACCGTTTAAATTCCGTAGCTGAAAGAAGGGCTTATACGCTATATGGCTTCTTATGCACGTGTATATAGAATCGATTTTGTATCTATCTATATCTGCATTATTTTAATAAGATATACGTATAAATTGTAGAGGTAGTATAGTCTGTATAGACGTGGATATATCTATATATCACTAAGAATATATAGTATATACTGCATATATACATATATCTATGCTGTGTATATATGCTTTTGTATATATATATATACACGAAGAGATAGAATTATATAAGGATATATATATATTGTATGTACATATATATTAGTATTTTATAAGAGGGGGCGTTCTCTTAAATGTTCTAATAGTATCTGCGTCCCGCTGAGGCAAGTAGCCAGTGTCCAGAGCGCGTCCTGCAGGGAACGTACTTCACACTCGATTGAGTGGTGCATGGCGCCACAATGTGTTCCCGCTGAGGACAGCCACGCCTTGTCATGTCTCCATTTCGTAACAACTAATGATGACCATTATACTGACCGTATCGATCAGCGCCCGAGCTGTTGACACAGCCCTCCTTCCTATATACGTGCGAGCTCTAATCTCCTTCTGTCTTTTTTCTTTCCTTCCCCTTCCCTTCTTTTTTCCTCAAATATTCGATAATTTTCTGTATATCTATCAATAGCACTTCTCTTCGACAAGGCCCTCTCCTTCACCTGGCCTCGTCCATAGATGACCTTATATAAGCAGCCTCAGTTATGTAATAAGAAACGAGCGATATGATTGATGACTCGGCTGCGATCGGGGTCGTCCCGATAGCTGTGACAGTGACGTCGTGGGCGGAGTTATCGTGACGTCATGACGACAGATTCTGACCGCCGGTCAAGCATCGGCGCAATGAAAAAAGCGTTAGCGGCTCTTCAAATTTGCCAGGTGCATGTGTTTGACATGATCGATGGCGTCCTTTGCGCGCAACGCTATCGAACGAAAAATTCTTTTTTTGTGTTTTTTTTATATTTTTGTTTTATAATCGCGTTACGATGTTGGTTGGCAGAGGAGAAGCCCAGTGGGAAATGGATAGATATCCAGTACAAAATATATGAGCACACACACATATATATATATATATATATATATATATATTTTTCCTTCCCTACTATGTATATATAAATGCCATATAGCTGCCCACAATATATATCTTAATATCTACATATATCTACATATCTCTGTCAGTACACATATTCTGGATTTATGTTTATATACATAAATGGAAAAATGTACATGTATATAAATAGATATATATAAACTTGACGTATTCGAGTCGAAAAATCTTTACCGTGTTACATATGCGAGGTATTTTAGCATTTATAAATAACTATATTTCCCTATATCTTTATACGTAGATAATATAGAGTAGAGTTTACGTCCTGCAGTGGCGTCTTGTGACGTCACAAGGCCACATCCGAGAGACGCAACCGGAAATTGGCCAGTTGTGTGCGCAGGCCGAAGAGACGTAACTATGACGACGGTCATCGCGGTGACGCCGGACCCTTGAGCTAATCCGGCGTCTCCGAGTACGTTCACGCTATATAGGAAAAGAGATTATATACGGCTATACTTTGCAAATGATAGAACACGCGCCGCTCTATTTTATATATTATATACACGCATGCATAAACGGATATCGTCCATCGGACGCTTTAATTATAGAACGTCGGAGCGGGCAAGGGCCAGCTTTTTTCAGCAGTCAACTAGTCGGGTCGCATTCCAGGGACAGGTGCTAGGTAACCTTACGTAAGAAGGTGAATGGCGTCTAAATACGTCGACTCGGACTAGATAGGCGTACAAATTGACTGTAGCCGTGGGCGATACGTTCGGCCCAACACAATACGAATCTTAGCTAGCATCATCCACATACTCGTAGGTATACACGCCCTTACATACGCCCATTTGTATCATTTTCTTCTCTTATTCTCTCTAACTCACTCTCTTAAAAAAAAACCGCCGCCCATTCGTATTTCTTACCTGATAGTTCGGTCATTATTTCTGCATCGACTTTGTCGTCTTCCTCTTCATCTTTAATCTTCTGATCTTCCACAAAACGAGCTAGGGCATTGAGTACAGACGTAGGTGATGCTTGCGGGGGACAGAGAGAGGCTAACGGTGTCGATACGTTTTTCCTCTTTCTCTTTTTTAGGTCGTCATCAGCCAGAATAGAAGTCGGTTTATTTTCCGTCCCGTCAATATCGTCATCATCTTCGATGACTTTCTTTTGGCAGCGTTCTACCTTATGCTCTATGAATGAACTGATTAAGACGAGAGGGAATTCGGCCTGGCAGTGTCCGCATGTTAAACGGTCGGCGTCACTAGCTTCTACTGTGCGGAAAGAAGGAAAAAATGCACAAACAATGGCGTTTAATTATCCGTGAGGCGACTTCATTCTCCATCGTATACACATTCCCCACCCATTTCTTTATTTTCGCTGTCAGCAGTCACAAAGGAGAATCACCACACCCACGAACGTTCTTAATAAACTTACTGGTATACGGAACATAATTTGCGTACAATGTATGGATGCACCATAGTATGTTTTATACATGTATAATAAGGATATTATATTCATATACAAGTAAATATATATATATATATATATATAAGTGCATGCACGGACGCTTTTCCTTTTGTACGCGTATTGTAGACGTACTCATACACTAATATACACGTGTCTAAGTAGTAGTCGATGGACGAGCCATTACGATAAACAGTAATTGTCATTTCGGCGCGGCCGTCTCTCGGGGTGACGCCAGCAAGACTGCGCCGTCACCTGGAAAATTGCCTCATCTTGCATGGTGTTCGCTAATTGTATATGGAATGAAAGGCAAAGTGAATTTAGGAGGTGGCGCCCACTATCGACGTCAGCCTGGTCAACAACAAAGGAATATTACGTGGCTGCAGGCCTTTCCGAGCTAAGAGGTCACAGCGCGCCATCAAAATGGCGGGTTTCGGGTCGTCCGGCGCATGCGCATCAGAGAAATCTCATGTCTATGGAACGTCACCTGCACCCCGAACCTATGCGAAACCTTTTGCATAACTGAAATTGGTAACAAAACGCCTCTTAGACGTTTTACGTTCGTTTTACGACCGATTCCAACATTCCAAAGTCTGCCCTCATACTTATACTTACCATAGCACTGTCTCATAGCGCCAGAGTGTAACTACTACATGGCTTGAAAAGAACGTAAATTCTCCCCTCCCTCCCCTTCCCTCCTACTTTTATAACTTTTACAAGTAGCCTAAGTGAATTAGAAGTAGTTCTCTTTAGTAGGAGATAGGACTGGGACAGAGAGGTAATAAGAAATTAAGAGTACATTTCACGAGCCTCTCTTCCACGAGAAGAATAAGAATAAAATAATAGATTGTATAAGTCTGTCGACTACTTTCTCACTTTCTTTTTATGCAAAGTATGTATATACATCTACTAGATTATCATTTACCATATATATTTTATAAGCGACGTTGTGCGCCAGTCACCTGCCTCAGGTAAACACGATCGTTCGACTTTCAACTTATAACGCAATCACCTCTTTTTTATTCTCTTTTCTTATTAATATGCAAATCGGGTTGAGTGGGAAAACAAAGGAGCTTGTTACCGGCCCCCACCCGCCCTAAAGCTATATGCAACGTATATATCTTATACAACTATACGTAGAATATTACTACCTAGCCAGAATATTTCCTTACCTATCTTATTATACTTTATATTCGAAAGGTGAAATTCTTTTTCAACTTCTATACGTCATACTATATATACTATACAAGATCTAATATGGATACTTTATACTCTATATACTTTCTTTTCTAATTTTCCCCCTTATTTCGTAAAGATTTCGGCTTGGACAGTCATTTTATATGCGATCCATTTACGAATAGGGTATAAATTTCTTTTAATTTCCGCGCTTTCATTGATTATACGATTCGGATTATAGGCCTTATTTTTTTTTTATAAGCATACCCTAGTCGTAAATATACTAACTGTATATGTTCAAATGTGCGGGTAAATAAGGGGAGGGCGACGAATGAATTGAAACAGACTCTTTTGTACGTCAAAAAAAAAAATGATTAACGACCGTCCGATGGTTTGATTATGTATATATGAAAATTTTAAATGCAATCCGCTTCCAGCTATCGACGCCTTGTTTATATAAATAAGCGTATCTTATATACCTACGTTTATATATTTATATTTGTATATAGATATATACAAGTATATAAACTATATATTTCGAATTGTTAATTGTAAATACAAGTAAATTACCGTAAACTATATAGATATATACAGTATATGGTATATAGTATGTGTATATACGTTAATACTTATATTTATATATGTGTAAATACATTGTATATATATTTTATATTTACATAGTATATTCATGCGTTTAAGTGTCTTATCTATTAAAGAAATAATATAGAAAGGCACAGATTGAATAAGTAAAAACAACAAAAGTAAATGATGATGAGGAATCGATAATTATTCATTCGGTCTCATTAACGTTAGACGTTATTAATAATAAATGCAATTGCTACCTCTGACCGTCGTTATTTGTGTATAAAATATTCATATAGAGTCGAGCTCTTTCACAATACAAATGTTATATAAGGGGGGGAGTGTAGAGAGAACCTTACATGTAAATTTATGCATTCACTACACGGAGAGGATAATGGAGGAAAGCGGACGCTGAGCAAGAAATATATAAATAAAGCGGCGAAATTTGATAAAGTATGGCGCGTATATTTGTCAGACAATGGACAAACACAAGCCGGCCATTGATGCATGACGTATATGTGACATATGACCCGCAGCAGATGACGTTTGCAGGCCGTGGAAAAACAGGCGCCCTTGTTTGTCTATAGCACAAGCTTTTATATATATATATATATATAATTCTGAAATATGAAATTTACGCTAGTAAGATTTCCAATATTGTATATAATTTTTACAGCTATGCAAACTCTCTACTTTTACGCAAGGCTCTGTTTGTCTTGGAGAATATTTTCGTTATGTTTTATTATCCTTATAAGAATAAATATAACGTAAAACAATACGTATATAATTAATTTGAGAACCACCCATGCTTGCGGCGAGCAGACCTCAAATTGTACTCAACAACAGCATCGAAACGTGTCCAAGCCTTCAACCACACCCAACAATTGTACGTAGGCGTCTCCGAGCATGCGCATGAGTAAAGTCCACCGAATAGGAGTGACGTCGAAGCGGTCAGTAACCAATAGCCACTCACTACTGTCCATCGTTTCCATAGAGACGTCGGACGTCACAGAAAATGGCTACCCAACAGTATAGTTGAGCTTATTAAGTCGGTAACGAGTTTTTACGTTGGCATTGTGCGCGCTTTGATTAGTTGTTTGTTGCTCTTTTTTTTCTGAGGCCGTTTGGCTGCTGACCAGACTGGTCTAGGCCTATATTATATAAAAGAGCGTACAAAGCGAAAGAGAAATAAAAAAATATTCCTATTCTGAGTTCAAGTTGCGTGAACGGTGCGCGATTACAATAAAGTACTGTCGAGGCATGACCCAGTTGCGTAGCGTTGGCGTCCGCTTGAGGTCGGGGTGGGGTCAAAAACGACCAATCAACGTCGACAAAATGTGATTAATAGAATGGGGCACTTGTCGTTCGTTATTTTTTTTTTTAATTCCCTCCACTTTTTTTTGCCAAGGACAATGTTTGGCGGGAAAAACTCTTTACATTCGCCTAGGCAAGCGATTATACGGATTCTCTTATCGAATATCTACAGGATTATGTAATCTTATTGATTTTATAAATATATCAGGGAGTCTATAAAAAAATGGTCAAAACGATAGCTAACGCATATGGAGCTTGTCAGAGTGGTCACGCAAAGGTTCAGTGGTCAATGGCGGCAGCTAGTAATACGATACGGGCAAATGCTTCTTCACTGTAGAGTCCCTTGTTCGTTTGTTTTTCTTAATATATGCATATATAAATATAATCTACATTATATATTATACTTTGCATAAAAGTATTTTGTAAAAACACATTACTTGAATATAAAACTAATCGGGAATTCACATGCTTTTTTCCTTACACGCGATATATTGTTAATAATGTATACGGTTATAGGCAGTAAAAGCATTATATAGCGACGTTATACATCAAAACGCTTCATCCACACTCAGCGACGCATTATGCTAATATTTACCAATCACACCTTAAATGTCCCTCTTTAGTTCTAGGCTGAAAAAAACTATAGCGCCGCTGACTATATTATTGATTTATGTAAACGTTCTCAAATTTCAGGTGTATAACAATCACGCACACACGGATGCGCGTATTACAGGTAGAGGGGTATAAGTGATAAAAAGGTAGAGTGAAAGAGAGACAAGAGTTGGGTGGGGGGGGGAGAGAGAATTTTGAGGTAGTTATTGATGAAGAGGAGAGGAGGGACGAGGGGAGGTGAGTAGGTGGTTTATGAAAAAAAAAAGTGTACACGGTCGAGAAAGCCTTATACAGAGGCTATAGAAGGTGCCTCCCACGGTAATTGTAGCTTATTCATTCACTAAACATGACCATTTTCAAGATGCTATCGACGTGATGAATTGCACCTACTCACACCACTAATATATACTCTCTCCAGCTTCCTCCAATTACTAATTATGCCGAGTTTATAGACGAGTTATTTATTTCAATTTCGCTTCTCCACGCGATATTTTCCCTCTCTATACTGTCTTTTCTTCTTATGCTTCTAACGTATGTTTTCGTATATATTTATAAAATTCACATATTTATCTGTCTATCTATCTATCTCTTATTATTTCGCGCTCTTTTTTTCCAACGTCTATCGATCGTTATAATCACGTGCATTGCACGTTTTTTGATAAGCAATAGATATTGTTCCAGACAGATATAGCATACATAGTACAGAATGTTATAATTATGTCAGGCAATACATATTCTATATAAATATATAAAACGTCATGTAAATATCTATGTTTTAGGGGTTGAGGTGCTTGTATCTTAATGAAATAAACAAATATATATATATATATATATATAGAAAGAATTTGGCGTGTATTGAATGATTGTATTTGAGTACGTTTGTATGAGCGACAGAGAGGTAGAGAGATAGAGGTAGGGGGGAGAATTGTATTTTTGGTCAAGCCGACTCTATAGAAATATTTCGATAGGAGATTACATACAGTATTATTGAGCAGGAAACAAGCCGGCTTTAGTTACGTTCGTAGTGTACACAGAGAACGACCGAGGCCATAAAAGATTAACGAAGCTGCATAGTGGACAATCATATATTGAAATTTTATCCGTTTTTCAAACGTCTTGTTCAAAGACAGAATATACTCATCTGATTCCTATCTCGAAGCCTAAAAAAACGTTATAGGGGTAATCTGCCGGTACTACTAGCCATTTGATATTGGTGATTTTAACGTTACTCTTATCAATAAACTATCGGTTCTTGTATGCGTGCGTGACGCCTCTACATTGACTGTACTAATATACAAATAATATAGATTTGTACTTAATTATGTACATAAGGTGTGCAGGTGCTAAAAAGGCATTCGAGAATCGAATATGTTATATTAACAGAACAAAATATTTGAATTCTAACGACAAATTCACTTATTTATGTAATTCTATTCGTATTTAAAATATTCTACTGCTACTTTATTCCTAATATCTACTTAATAAATATGTAGAGTGGAAACCCCCAATCCAAACGCGTCATTAAACTAGAAAGGTAAACAAGAAGCGACGAAATGCGGGCGTTCGTCGAACACCTCCTTTTTAACGACACTATAATTCAAAAAACGGTTGAAAAACGAAGAAAAGAAAGGAAAAAAGAAGAAAGGAAAGGAGTAAAAAAGGCCGGTCAACGCGGCTTTTGCATTGGTGTATATATATCTTAATAACTTATTATACTTTCGTCCATATTTAATTCCGACCAACCCCCGTGGCTACAAGAAGCTCTGTCGACCGTTAAAATGCTCTTTTCACACATATAAATATATAGCCTTTACAGGCTAAATACGAAAGAAGGAAATATTTTTTAAAACACCCCCCCGCCACCCCTACACTCATGTCCCTAAACCTAAATTTGTTATATATATATATAATATATAAGATATAAATATATAGCCCTACATACAATAGTCATATTGTATGTATATGTATGGCCAACGTAAAAAAAAAACATAAATGATATACGGACACCGGTCAGCCTGCGATCTCGTATTTGAAAAAGACAGCCGATATACAAATAGATGCATTGTCAACTAGCTTTTCGTTTTGGCGCCGAGCCCTATGAAAAATATGCGGCCAACAGTCGTATATAATCAGATTTAGACTACAAATCATCAACGAACGTCAAGTAACAGCTTTTACGTGTAGTGTGTAAACACAGTTTTTATTTTTTTTTCTCTTTTTGAATTCAGTTTCGCTCTTTCTGCATCAGTAAAAACCGATAGTAAATCGATTTTGTTTGGTCATTTAATTGAATGAAAATTTATGATAAGGATCTTAAAAGGGGAGATATTATTGCGAATGGCTGGTTGAATACCGCCCATCTTTTACGCAGGTGGGCGGTCAATTGGTCAAGTGGCGGGCGGAAGAAGAAAGTATAAAGAGGACGCATCCGTTATATTCGAGCAAGGGCTGGTATTGGCGGTGGCGGCAAGATTAGCCAAGAGCTTTGTGACCCTCCGAGGTCGAGTAAACAAGACCCGGACGACCTTCAACTCGAGTTGGACAGGTCGTTGCCAGGCGATCACGTCACATGACGCAACAAAATCAACAAACTGCCCTTGCCGAAAATTCAATCAATTAAATGCCCAAAGGCTGACCGCCTCAAATGCTTGAATATATTTACAAAATTATTGTTGAGTATATTCTATATGTTTGCATAATTATAAAAGTATAGGAGTAAAGAGGAATAACGTTGTATTCCACATTGCAAAAAAAAAAGAAAAAAAAAACATCAAAAGAAGTTGTGCAAGATGGCGTCAACCGGTTACATATTTCAAAGTACCGCCTTTCAATAGCCACCTCCTTGTCCGAACTGACCGTATTGACCTCATGGGGTGGATTTTTTATGAAAATCTATCAACCGATCCTACCCATATATAACAACAAATATACATACATAAAAGAGAGAAGGAATTTATACTATATATATATATCTATATATATATATATATAAAATAGATACCGACTGTATACTATTATTTATATATATATATAGATATATATTTATATTTTGAGAATGAGAGAGCTCCACAACAAAAAATATAGTCTCTACATTATACAAACTACTATAATTAATTGTTATTAATGAAGCGATTTGCTTCGTTTCACATACGGCCCCAACGTGCTTCATCAAATGCCCATCAACGGCTATTATCGGCGCTGACCAACTAAACGTTCTTTTCGTCGCCCGCCTAATTCGTTTATATTACACCCCGTTCCCTTACCGCCTTTGCATTACTCACTCTCTCATTCACGTAACAGCATACTCTTACGGACTGACCTTACTGACCCGAGTCTCTAGCCGCCGCTTTTCCTTCTCTCTCTTCTCTTTCTTTTTTACCACAGCTCTCTCTATCTTACTATCTTTTATACGCTTTTTTTCCCACACGACATTGAAAAAGGCTACATAGATACATTTTCTTTATATACGAATATATATATACACGCATTATCCTCCTCTTTCTCTTTATAAAGGCATCTTTCTCCCTATCCCTTTAATATACTGAATATATCTCGTAGGCCTTAAATTTTCTATATAGATCATATATAAAGCTAGACATCCTTTTCTATATCGCGTGACTGTCTGTAAATCATCGACGCGAAACCAAAGTTTCGATTGGCGACAAACCGATACAGAATTAACTTATCCCTACTGTCTATATATTGTGTGCAATATTTACAAAAAATAATCTAAATATATATGGTCCCAGTTGAAAAAAAATACTAGATATTAATAAATTACTTACGTTCTTCTAGTTGTCTACGGTGTTGAGGTCGTCCTTGTTTTCGCCTAGACATATCTTAACGGAATCATTGAAATTTCTCATTGAAAAGCGTCCCTGCTGCCGGGCGCCGGCGAGCGCACAATAACAAGTATGGCGGAAGAAGAAGCACTTTTCCCGCCAGATAGCGTTCGGATTCAATTCGTCGTAAGCTTGCGTAACAGCGCCACACAGTGGTTCCGGGATTATCTGCAAGAAAATTTTCTCTGTACACTTGTTCATTAAACAAATAAACTCATTTCCTCTCGAAATATACATTTATAAGGGGAAAAAATAAGTATTCGTAAGGTTTCGAAGTAAAATTTTAGCCTTTACCTTATCTTTGCGCGATATAGAGTACCTAGAATGGGCTTTGCCTATACTTTTCCATACAACATTTCTATAAAGCTACTACGTAAATAAGTACATCCTACTTGAACTTAAACTTCTTTTGTAGACCACCGTTGTTCGTCTTAGTAATAAAATTACATAAGGTTCCCAAAAAAATCCATCAAAAATTCTTCCGCCAAATTCTAAAAGTAATGACAATGTCTTACATCACCAGGTGGCGTAAAAGTTTTCTTTATGTTCATTATTATTTTCAGACGGCCATGGTGACCTAATTTTACGACTGGGAAGCGTCGCCGGAGGAGTTTTAAAAAGAACAAAAACCGAAAGACTAATCGCCTTTGTTTCTTATCCTGCTATACACTGATTTCCGTCCGCAAAATACTTACAAGAAAAAGTAAACCAACAAACCAACAACAAATGAAAAACAGGAACAAACTACTGTTGACTTTATCAAACTCACTTTCTATATATGTTATCGAGTAATGTAACTTTTACTTGTTTATCACTTAATATTTATACATAAAACAATGTAAACAAACGAAGCGTTTATCAGCTTAACAAAGATGCGCAATCATAATACGAAAATTAAGTAGAAAAATCAGAATTAAAAGAATAAATCTATACCTAAAATACGCGCAAATGCGAATAATAAGCTTTTATACTATCCGTACTAAAGAGAAGATAGAGGGAGAGAGGCAGAAAAGCCGCAAGCTTTTAAAAAACGGTCAACAAGCAGCCCGACAGCCTGTCAAAAACTGCTGGCCGAGACTTACCTGAATCGCTGTAATTCGTCGTCCCTACTGACCTAATTGTCGCGAGCTGGCGTGGCGCTCCTAACGTACTGCCCAACGTCCACCTAGCCAATGAACGGTCGACGTTGGACATTAATCAAGCGCTGCCCAACCAATCAGCGTTGACCGTTAGTGCCCCCAGCAAGGGCATCATTTCAAAATCACCTACTTGCCCTTATTCCCCGTATATATATCTACATCTGCTAACTTCCCTCACGCACGGCGCCATGCGGCTCTTATGAGTACCTTTATAAGAAGCTAAAAGCACCCAAATAGACTTTATGTTATGTTATAAAGAAGAAAAAGTTTTTCTAGTTTTACATGTGAAAAATTAATTTTCTATACAAAAAAGTAAAAAATAAAAGTAACCAACCTCCTTCACACACGGCGTCGACGAGAGTTTGTGACGCTATGCGGCAGGCCAGCGACTATAGCCGGATTAATTATGCATTCGCAGCCCGATGCCCATTGGCTCTTCGCTGACGCACGCCCAGCATACATCAACGAAGCTTCTCGGCGTCTAATTGCGACGTCCCTTTTTGGCTTTGCCGGAAGTAGCCGTCGTCTGGGAAATTTGAGAAAGACATCGGACGAATGGACTGGTAAAACGAGCCAGGCGGATATCCGCAAGCGTATACATATGTGCGCACGTTTACAAATGAATATTTACATCTATGTACCTACAATGAATATCATTTTCTTACTTTTTTTACTAAACTATAAGACGAAAAAGAACAACGTATAAAAATCTTCTTATCCTCTCAATCTTTCCACAAAACATCACACTAAATTTTCCTTGGACAGGCAAGAAAGAAAAGCATACCTTTCCGCTTTTTTAGTTTATTTATATGAAATATATTAAAAGATAGGCAGATTTATTTTCTTTACTTTCCATACTAATACTTAAATGATTTCAATGTTGTTCATCTAAAGATAGCCACTGGTCGAATGAATGACGGCGGCGACGAAGCGTATAAGGAATGTTATGCATGCGTGAATTTGACCATCGCACTGACCAGCGGTCACAATATCTTGGCCCGCATGCCAACATACGCACTTTATTCACTACCCAACGCCCTGTAATTAACCTACCGCTAGTCAATGGTCTCTTTACAACTTTACGTTCCAACCCTCTTTACCGTTTCACTTTTTATTCTACTGCTACTGCCATCTGTTGTATTGCCGTGGGTGTTTTCCTTTTGAATTTTTAAAATTAATAACTATTTCAAATTATAAATTAACTAAGAGTATCAAACTTATAAAAGCCAATAAAAACTTTAAAACAATGTTTTAATTAGTAAATTATAATGTTAACTTGTATTTTTGGTGAATTAAGGGCAGTCTTTTGGGAATATTGTCGCTATCTTACAACATCCTATGACGGATGCCCTCCCGGAGCTTCAGCCGTTTTCTTGTTCGCTTCGACGCACTTATGTCAAACACTACCTCAACGATGTTGTAGCCAAAGGAACGGGGCCTATGAAATGGTCGATGAAATATTAGATGTTACTTTTCGCCTATTAATGCCTTACATTTCGTATAAGCTTTTTTGGTTACCAGCCAATAGTTACCTGCACGACTGCCTTAGATTTCTATTGGGTAATAGCCAATACTTGGATCAGGCTTTAGAAATATCATCTATTTGCCTGAGTGGTTTGTTCGTGGTCAGAACAATTCAAAGTTCATTCGCGGAAAGGATGTATGAAGGCGGTCAACAGAATATTTATTTTAGGCCTATAAATATGAGATTTAATTATGACATTTTCCTATACAACAATAGGCCAATTTACAATCATTTCTCTAGGAGGAAAAGTTTAAATGCTTGTTTGGACAATATATCGATGCGCCATCTTGCGTATATTGGAAATATTAAAAAAGCTGTATCTGAACCGACGTTACGAAAATTACAATCTTGCAATAAACCAAAAAGGAGGGCATTAGTTCCTCCTTTACGTTTAAAACTCCAGCAAAGTTTGAACTAGTACCCAAGTATAATTATTATTCTTAAAAAAAAGAGAGAAGAAAACAACAATATACATTAGAATATATTTACATAATTCAACATAAACTTGAGAAAAGTTTACTCTTATTTTTTATCCTATTCGTCATCCTCTAATTCTTCATTATCGTCACCATCATCACTATTATCATCCTCATCGGTTATTTCATCATTTTCATCGCTTTCTTCGCCATTTTCATCCGACCAGTCTTTCATATTAGCAGATTCCATTGAAAGATCTTCTTTCAAAGCTTTCCATTTTTTAGCACCCTCTTTGTTCGGTTTCTCATTCTTTAACATATCGATAAAAGTGCCCTTACGCTTTGTATCTTTTAAAACTTGATCTTTTTTTGCTTCCGTTGAAGCATTCATTAATCGCTCTTCAGTCTGCTTTTGCTGTGACCGTACAGCATTGAATAGTTGGACGACGCCTCTGAATGAAAGGTAGAAAAACATGTAAAGACATGTAAAGATATTTAAAGCTGTTTGCTTTTTTCTCTCTACAACCTTGTAGCTATTTTTGCCAGAGTTCGCTCCTTTTCTTTATCTAGAGGTTTCGGTTTTGTCCTCGCCATCTTCTTCCATTCAAGTTTCTTCAAAATAAAATTAGGTTAGATAATGCGCGTGATAACTTAATTTACAAAGTATACTTTTTGCTTCCTTTGATATTCATTATCGCTATCACTGTCATCGGTGTCATCTTGTCTTCTTTTTAACTTTGCCTTAAAGATCTGCTTATCTGTCCTAGCTTTCGATAGTATAACACTCTTCTTTGAATCAGGAATGTTTTTACTGAGAATTTTTGACATAACATCTGCCAAGCCGGACTTTTCTTTTGGCTCCTGAACTTCATCTTTTTGATCAGACAGCAATTCGTCTGTATTATCGCTCCCTTTTTAGTACAATTAATAAGATTATTGTTAATATATATCAGGGGAAGTAATCAAATTTAAAGATTCTGGCAGCAAAAAATTAAATCTTATATTTTATGAGAACAAATCAAACTTTACCAATATCGCTGTCGCTTGATAGTGCATCTGTTGTTACAACTTTGGCACTCATGCTCGATTTTCTATCATAGTGAATATTTTACCTAACAAAATATGGAACCAGTTTATTCTCTTTGCGCTCGAATTTCTATACGTAAAAACTCTAATATTTCAAAATGCAGTGTGTTTATTCAAATACATTTTATATGACCATTGTTCAAATTAAACATCTCTAGTAACTAATTATGAAAAAAAACAGTCTATACTTTTCATAAGTATAGCAGTGTAAATACTTGATACGGTACAAGATACATCTAGATTGTGCCAAAAAAAAAAACAAATTAAAGTGCACAGCATGCAGTCTAGAGTGCAATAATACTATAAGTAAATGAACGCATATTTGATGTATAAGCTATTTATCCATTGATATCTGCTTCTGGTTCGTTAACAATTTCTCCTCCTGCTGCCATGAGCAAATTGCCAGGATATGGTTCGGAAGGTTGAGGAGGAGCAGCAACTGCCGGTTGCTGATAAATTTCAGGCTCAGCAACTGCATCAGCTAAATTAGTTATCGATTTTGATTTCACACACTGAAAATCGACATGACGGGATCTAGCTTCTTCTTTTTCCCAAGACATGTGAATGAAAGGTCTCTGAACATAATTATAGACAACATCATATTTTCCGTCGGGCCTCCGTTTGACTTTCTCCTTGTACGTTGGGTATCCTTCAATGCCTAATCGAACTTTCTTTAAACGTCTATCTTTCAACACTGATTTAGCTACATCGCGATTTTCTACATATTTAAAGAATCTGTACATGGGAGCCGATTTTATGACTTGTGTATATTCTTCTCCCATTTGAGGCGGATAATCCTCATCCCAGTCAATAATTTCTTCTCCAGTTAATATCACAACATGACACTCTCTATCACCTCTTTCGGCACTCAGCACCATTTGGGTGACTAGTTCATCGTCAACAAACTGCTCAAACTGCTTTCTAGCACCCTCATCAGAAAATTCATGAAGGAGATCCCTCAAATTTCGACTACGTACAGTTTCAACATTGAAAGGTATTAATAAAAAATCAGCGACATCTCGTACTTCATGTACGCTAACTCCAGGTGGAATGTAAACACAACCTGTTTTATAAAAAGACAGAACAGCCCGACAAGCCATTGGCGATATGTCGTAATCAATATTAAATTCTCCTCTTTCATTTGGTCTGGTCAAGTTTTGACTGTAGGAAACTCCAAACATTTTTGCTAACATTGTGTCTGGATATTTTTCGATATCATCTAGGTCTATATAAAAATGAGTATTTGCCATGACAATAGTTATACCTCTTCTAGTTGACGAATTATTGACTGCTGCAGTTACTCGATGTGTCTGTTCTGATGATAATTCTTCTAATTCGTTGCATTTCTTATCCGTTTTCAGAGCCGGTACCAATTCTTGGCTTCCGCAGTCAAATGAGGATTTCTGTACTAGGCAAGGTTTCTTATGTCTCTCAGATGGCGGTGATCTTTCATTCAGATGACCATTCGCACTGGGTTTTTCTCCATCTGAATCACTCTTTGGATTATCGTCTTGTTGTCTGAGAGTAGATATAAAAAATTAGAAATTAATGTAAAACAAACAATGTTCATAAAGATTTGACGTAAAATTACTTTGAAGACTCCATTCTGATTCCCAATCCTACCAATTACAAAGAGATTTATTAAAAAATTGAAGCGATTATTTCCTCGGGAGAATTCATTTGCAAACTATTCTTCGAACGTAGAATAGATTTATATAAACTGGTGAACTCTCTGGTACCGTGTTCCAATTAATATATGTTCGAGTTCCATCGGGCATGGGATCTGGAACCTGTTCTCCCTCTTAAATGGCTGACTTGACGATGGCCGTTTCAGTATCGTCAATCTTATTACTTTTATTAGTAACATGGCGCGAATTCAGCGCTACCTCGGATGTAGATTCTCAGTCGAAAGTTGAAAAAGATATTCCAGTCCCAAAGTTATCAAAATTTACTGGTCCTAGGATGACTTTTCTCTATTGGTTAGTTCAGCAAGTAGGACGATTGTATTGCAGACTTGAATATAAATCCAGTGGCAAATAGAATAATGCAATTTTTAATTTATTATCTTTGCGTAATTCCATCTGGGTTTAATATATTATGGTCAATCAATATGTTAAATTAAATAATGTCTGCTAAATTTTTTTTACATGCCATTTATTTTATGTATTTCTATTCGAAATATTAATTAAATAATTGATTTTCCAGTTATTCCTGAGGCTACAAACGCGTATTCGAAGAATACGCACATCATGTTCATCAAAAATATCCATCATTAGTAGTTGACGGCGAAAATTACGTGCCATCTCAACCTAGACCACTCATCGCTCAGATCCTATCAATCACAAAAATTCTCCTAATAGGCCTAATCGTTACGGGGCAAAACCCATTCCAATGGTTAGGTGTAGAAACACCAAATATTTGGAGTTGGGCGTCGGCTAATAAATTTTATGCGTCAATCATGCTATTCTTTGTAAGCAATGCTATCGAGGGACAATTAATGTCTAGTGGAGCTTTCGAAGTTTACTTTAATGACGTGCCCGTTTGGTCGAAGATGGAGACTGGTAGGATCCCCTCACCTCATGAATTATTTCAAATCATAGAAAATCATATGCGTTTAAATAAAGGCAGTTGATAAAGATTAGCTTATAAGAGTAATTTTTGGATTATCGACTGATGACAGTGTCTGACCAAAAGTTTTTATAAAACCGGTAGATACTTGATGGACTTTTCGCTATTCCAAAATTATTTAATTAACCTGATCATTATTAACTTTTGTTGTTTCGTTGTTGGTATAATATCTATATTCAAGTATATATATATATATAAATATATGTATATGTACAGCATACATTTTATCTGTTTTATGCAAAAAATTCGTGATTGTTATTTCAGTTTGTACAATAGAGCAAAAGGAAAAAAATTATTCCTATTGCTGTTATATCCAAAAAATTTGTCAAATTTATACAAAAATAAACAATGAACAATTATAGTTGAGATTTTATTGTATTTCTTTTTCTTTTTTGTTGTTGTTTAAGACAATCAATCGTATGTTTATGAGTAACATGTTTATGTAATTGAAGATATCCAAAGCTTTCAGGTAATTGTATACTTTTCGGCATTGTGTGATTGTTAAAAAAAAGATATAGAAGTTTTTTTTTATACTGTAATTATAATACTGTTAGGAGTTTGACTGTGAAGCTGTTACGAAAGAAAAGAAAAAAAAAGAGTTAAAAAATTGTAATTTAAGTACAATAACTAAAAATATGAAATTATCCGTTAGTACTGTGTATTTTAATTAGAAATGGAATCATTCGAAACTATAGTGTATGTATGTAAAAACGTAAATAGGTTTTTTTTGTTTTGTTTAATATTAGATGTCAACTAATGTTACTTATCTTTAGATTTATATATACAGTGTATAATATCGGTACTGTAGTTTTTAACAGATATATTATAGATGTTTAGCTAAACTTGAATTAGTAAAAATACAAACTAATTTATTGCTGCTGGCTGTTATATACAAATTATTACCTATAGAGCTGCTACAGATGCGAAAAAGTCTGTTCAATGAGCAGAGTACAATTGTTATTTACTGTATCAAATTGTTAATGATTCTATTACCTTTGTATATTCAGTGGAGAGTTGATTTGATTCGTGACTAGTGGTCGCCATGTTTTTTAACTTTCCTCTCTTTCACTATAGTAAATCAGTTTTTCAATGCAAATATTTGAAAAAGAAGAAACACTTCAGATGTGCTGCTTCTCTTCATCTCTTTTTTTTTCATTACAAAAAATTGAATAAGTATTTACCTTTGCGCCATTTCCCCTAAATTAACAGAAAAATTGTCCATTCTTCTTCTATTGAAATATCTCTACTTAATATCTCCGTAATTATTTTGAATTCATTTAGACAGAGGGAATTTTTTACAGTGTTTCGTCAATGTTTTCAATTAGGAAATTCTATCATCTTCTCAGCAGTACATTTATTTTGTTGTTTGTTTGATAGTTTCTTAAATTAGAAAAAATGTCTAGTCTGAGATTATTACTTTTATTTATTGTTTACTTTTTGTTTTATATTCGACATTCAACTTTTTGTAAGAAAATTACCGAAATAATAAAAAATATCCTTGTCCTCTAGCATCTATCTAGAAGTTATTACTTTGTCTAGCTGTTTTAAGGATGAAGATGATGGAATACATACAAATGAAAAATATTGGCCAGCAAGAGATATAATAAATCTTATCAGTAAATATATACTTTTCATGTATCTTCTTTGTTAATAGATGATAATCAATTTGGAAAAATGAGAAAGAATTATTGACTGAAGCTGACCTACCTATTGGAAAGAGTGATAGTAACAAGATATTTATTAAATTTGACATTAGGATATAATGTTTTCATGTAGTTTTTATAATTTGTTTATAAATAAATTTTCTCGGATTTCATGTTTATTCTAAAATTAGGTTTATAGAATACGACAATCACGTTATAATCATATTGTTGAAGTATAAATATACAAAAAAGATGAGGAAAATAATAGATAAAATATTCTACGTCATTAGATACTGATGAAAACTTTGACTCTTATTCATAGAATAGTAAGGCACAACGCTATGCATAGGAATCTAAATCTAATTTAAACTCTTAGTGTTCTGTAATATTGATTATTATATAGTATATGAATGTTTGTTTTTTTCCTTTATATGTCCCACATTTACACTAAACAATAGAGAATATATTATCTGGATTGTTATTTTTAAAAATTAGTTTTGTTATTGTATCTTCTGTTATCTATACTAAGAAAGACCAGTGATATAGCTCATTTCTTTCTGCCTTTTCTATTGTTATATACAATATATCTAATTAACTGAAATTGACAAGGTTGATTAATTAAATTTAGAATATCTTTAATAAAGCTTTTTCTTAATCAAATCTTTAATGTTTTAATCTATTTATAAAATTATTTAGTATTCAAAACATTTATTAAATAAAGGAACATGTTTTTAGCATTGAGAAATTTTCTTTTATAGCTATCTATAAATCAAATAACTTTAGATTTACGGTAGAGACTGATGAAAGAAGAATAGTTTAAGGAAGAGAGGTTTCTTTTTACTTTTTTTTGAATGTATCTTGAGGAAGATAAGTAGGTTGTTGATAGGAAAAAAATATCCCTATGCTCTTTCGAATTAATACTGTTATATTAGCATATTTTTGTAATTTTAAGAATTTTTAAAATATTATTAAATACAGATTACATCTGTTTAGATACTTTCTGTATTAAAATCATATCCCAGTTGTCATGTGCACTTATTATTGGGAAAGTCTTTGTTTTATAAGCAAATAAACATAATCTACCATTATTAAGTCATAATAAAAAGTTATATTTAGGAGAGTTTACGAGCAGATAGCTTATGTTATATTAGGCTGACAGTTTCAAGATAATTTATACTAAAGAGTGTTATTTATTTGCATCAAAATAATCTTTACTTCTTTCCCCTCTCCTCTCCTCTCAATCCCTCTTTTTCTTTGTATTTACATACTATAAAAACCATTTCTAATTTGATTGCTATATTTTATGCTAATACAGTATGTATATTGCTAATTTATTAATGGTAGATTACAAAATTATAATGTTAATTTATTATAATATTAAATAAGTATCAATTTTAAAGCAAATTTACGATTGTAATTTATTATTAAGGTACTTAAACTTTTAAAATTACCGCTTTTTATGGATGATAACTTCAGCCTATTGATTTGGGAGAGAAATTTTAGAAAAAAGAGTGTTCGAATATTTTTTGTTTACGAAAAAAACTGGTATATGTATAGCATTTTATGGAATTTATAGTCAAGGTTGCCAAGTTCAGCCTATTAAACAAGTCTAGTATTCTCAAAAGAGTACTTTTTAATCGCGTAAATTGTATTAATTACTTCAAAACGACCAAGGTATTATAAGATTTATATTTTATTTTTTTCAATGTTTAGCATTTTACATTCGTTTTAATCTTCAATTATCACTCACATTTTTTAAATGTGAATTCTTGTATTTTTGGCCTAAATTCTAAGAAATAGACATCATAGAATAGTCCTTAATTGCAATAGTACACTTTTCAATATGTTTTGTTCGAAATCAATGAGAAATATTTAAAAAATGCTATCATCCTATCAATACCTAATTCTATTATTATAATCTATTATAATATGAGGTAAGAAATCTCTCTATGAGAAAAAAAATTATTGATTTCGATATCAGGTTGTTTATTGCTATCAAAAGATTCTAATCCTATTTTTTTTTAATTTTTTAAATTTTCTTCTTATGTCATACTGATTTGTTTACTTTGGTTTTTTCATATAACTAAGATTTTCAAGAAGAGGTTATACCAAAAAACAAAATATATAAATCTATTGTCATTAATGATTGTAAGAGTTGAATATAAATGGTTACTCTTGAATAATAATAAAAAAAAATGGTTAAATAGGCTTCGTTACAACATTATTGACTATAAACAACACAATACAGAACTTGAGAATGTCAACGTCAAAAGCAAAAGTTTTAATAGCCTTTGATTTTGATCATACAATCGTGGATGAAAACTCTGAACCATTCGTCTTTGATAAATTAGCTCCAAACGGTATTCCAGACGATATTAAGAGTTTGTACAACAGGCTAGGATGGAACGAATATGTAGGCGCAGTGTTTGCCTATTTGCATTCTAAGGGTACGTCTGTAGACGAGATAAAAAAAGCATTGTATGAGGTAAAGCTAACGGCCGGTATGAAGCAGCTTTTGGACTTAATAAAAAGCGAAGGCTTGGAAGCTATAATAATATCAGATGCGAACTCTGTGTTTATTAACGAATTGCTGAAAAAGTTCAACTTAACTGAAACATTTTCAACGGTTTACACAAATCCATCGAAAGTGGAGGAAAATGGTTTAATAACGATATCATATTACCATAAGCAAGATTGGTGCGATTTAAGTACGGTGAACATGTGCAAAGGTCATATATTGGATGAACATATCAAAACTAACGGAGGATATGACAAAGTAATGTACGTTGGTGATGGATATAATGATCTATGTCCCGCTCTAAGACTACGAAAATCTGATGTTGTGTGTCCAAGAATAGGGTTTTCTCTTAAAAAAAGCATCGAAAATTTAGCTCCTCCCCACGAATTACACGCCAGAGTTGTTAATTGGCTTGATGCAACGGAATTATTGCAAGTTACCAAATCATTAACTGAAAAAGACTAATTTCTTTAAATTTGCTCTGTACTTGGTAAGTCGGTTTGAGAGTAGACAATAAATATTTGAATAGCATGAAATATACAAGATAAGTCTTATGACATTTATACTAATTAAGTCTTTGGCATTGTGTAATTAGTTTGATTTTTAAAACTGAAAATTAGAAAACATTCATACTTCCATTATAAATCTCATTCAACCGGTGTCAAGCTACTGCCCCTTTTTCGGTCTTTATTATCAGATAGTCATTTCTTCCCATCGCTAAATGCCTTCATGAGCTCTATTAATGAAACAATTGTTAAATTACCTCAATTATCATATAAAAATATATCAGCAAAAATTACCAATAGGCAAGGGGAAAATAATTGTTGAATTCTTTTCGGCCGATATTTGTGTTAGAGTTTGTAAATATCTGAGTTGCAGAGCTCCTGACGCTTCATTTATAACGTCGGCTGCTTCCTTCAATGCCCTGGATGCCCTTTGTTCACCTTCGGCTGCGATTACTTTTGCTCGTGCGTCTCTAGTCGCTTCCGCTTCGGCCGCCATTGCACGTTGCAATTGAACTGGCAGGCGAACGTCCTTAATTTCAACTCTTTCGACTTTGACACCCCATGGATCGGTTCCTTTTTTAAAGAATTAAAATTATAAACAAAGTTTTCAACAGAATTTTTCGTCGTTGTCTTACATACCTTCATCAAGTACACTCTGTTATAATAAAAAAAAGAAACTATTATCAGACTTTTTTATTAACTACAAGTCAAATTTATTATATTAATACTAGGTTAACTGGCAAACCAGGCAATTTGAGTTTGTACTAGTGGTATTTACCTGCATATTATGGGCAATAATCTCGCGATCGGTTAAAATTTCACTTAAGGTTTTCGTTCCCAAAATGTTACGAAGGGTAGTTTGAGCTAACAAACGTGTCGATCTGGATGCATCTTCAACATTTACAACAGAAATCATAGGATTAGAAATTCTGTAATAAACGACGGCATCGACGGCAATAGTAACTGAATCTTTTGTTAAAATTTCTTGAGGCGGAACATCAAAAGAAATAGTACGGAGGTCAACTTTGACAAAATTATCCAAACAAGGTATAACGAAGAAAATTCCGGGACCCCTAGATCCAACTAAAACTCTCCCCAGTCTGAAAATGACGGCCCTTTCGTATTCTTGAACGATTTTTATACATAGGCATATTGAAATTGGAAACGTTATTATTATAAAGAAAATGGACACAATCTTTAAGATAACCTGCAGTATTTAACAGCGGATAAGAATTTTTATGTTCGAGAGTTGTTAAAACTTTTACTTACGCCACAACATCCTGATTCATCTCCACCTTCCCGATTTCCAATACCTGCTTCTCCTCTTCGTGCTGTTTAGGAAAGTACTAAATAAGTATTGTTAATAGGCACTCTACTATTTACGATCGTAATACTACTTGATTCATGACCGATAAATTGACCCAACAAATCGGTTGGCCTTTGCATCAAATTGCGACCATCGCTGGATTGCTTATGCGTATTCTTACTGGGATTTTCTTCAAATCCACTCGCGCCAGTATATGACATGTTAAAGCTCACAGCTAGATATAATTACTAATATTTCCCCACTTACACCAATAAGACTCTTTCGTATGCTAATATCGAACAATAATACTTTCAATATTCTCCAAAATAATATTGAATTTTTATTGTAATCGCTCTTCAACTCTCGTATAAATTGTACATGCATTTAAAGTATTACCTTTAGGATCATCCATTCCACCAAAAGATTTTAGGAGAGTTATAAAAAAAAACACCCTCAAGCGCTGTTTACGTTACTTATTGTGATAGTGATATTAGAGCGGCTAGCAATTGCCCGTCTAAATGTTAGCCTATTCACATGGCATAGACAACGTAGCCATACTATGAGGGTGTGGTTCCTGATCTGTGGTATATTAAAATGTCGCATAAAAATAAAGAGCAACTCGTTTTCCACATATAGGCCTAAAAAAAATTTTTAAAGAAAATATGAATCATTAAAAAACTAAAGTGCAAAACACAAGAAATTTTTAAACTACTGAAAACTGATAAGCAAATAATTTATTGCATTTAAATGCATTAATGTCTTTGGCACATATAAAACACGACATATATTCTATTGAATAGGATTTGAGGTATTTTTTTTAATAATCTATAAGGATAATTAATAAGAATATATTCAGATAAGATAGTATTGTGGGTTTTTCGGATAAGCTATTTGGGATTGGTTGGCTGTTGAGGCAAGAGAAGGTGTGATGATGAAGAGAACGACTTTGAAGTTTCTCGATTACGCATGTAAGATTCACCAAGAGGACTGTAATATTAATAACATTATTATTAGTATTATGAATGAAATGGAATGATATTTGATGAAAATTCTAAAAATACCTAGACATTACTATCTGTTGCGAAGGGCGTCTTGAGTAGGCGCTACCCGGCCTTGATACATTCATAGCTTTATGCCTTTTCCTAACGGCGTCTCTATGTCTTCTAACACCGTCAACTAGCTCTCCAAAGTCAACTTCACCATTTTTATCTGTATCCAAAGTATGTAATAACTTTTCAACTTGTAAATCGGACAATATTAATCCAGAAGCCTTAAGTCCGTTGGCCAATTCAACGTCTGTCAAACTAAAACTCCTATCCCTATCAAATCTTGCGAAAAGGTCTGAGAGGCGCATTCCGGTTTTTCGAGCGTGCTCCAAGAAAAGAGCTAGAGGATCACCAACTTCCGGAGTTCTATTTGACGTAGTTTCATATACATCATCCCTTCTAAGACGTCCTCCATGTCTTATAACAAAATTTGAATTGGCACGCCTTAACTTTTGGTATTCGTTTTCAAATTGATCCCCAACCTCTACATCCAAAAGTTCTAAGTATTCAAGCTTACAGGAGGAAGCATTTTGTCGAATAACCGATAAGAATTTTGCTGCCCCATAGGCGTCAATAGGATTGTAGCTTAATTTTAGCCGTTTCAAATTTGACGAGTGAATACTCTCGGAAAGAGAGTCAACTCCGTGACTACTAATACGATTTGACGATAGGTCGATATCCTCGAGCGTACTATTCGTCTTTAATGAATTAGAAATCTTCTTCGATGCCTCATCTGAGAAACCATTCCATGACAGATCAAGTTTACGTAGTTTGCTGTTAAATTGTAGAGAATTTGCAATAGCTAACGCCCCTTTTAACCTCAAATGATTCCAGCTTAAATTTAACTCCTCAATACTAGAGTTTTTCCCTGGAGAAAAAAAAAACATCAAAGCAATTAATAAAAGAAGCAAATTACTTTATAGAAATATAAGGAAAACAAAAATTAATACTTATTCCCTCTGCTAAAAATATTCCACCCTTTTCTCTGAATTCGCTATGACTAATATCAACTTTTCTCAATGTCTTTGTTTTCTAAATGAAAGAGAAACGTTTGAAATTTATTTTAAGAGGCAAAACTAGTGCAATATAAAATTTTTAATAGTTCAATAACCGAGAATAGTACGGCTAAAATTTCTCCATCATTCTCTTCTAATTTATTCTTGGATAAGTTTACAGTTATTACAGTTTCATTACGAAGTAGCGAAGCGGTAAGATATCTGAGGCCAGCTTTTCCGATGTTATTCGACGAAAGATTCTAGGAGAAGGAAGGAGATTTTGTAAGAAATTTTCATTTTCAATTGATTCTCCAATTTTTTTCATAAGAATCATGAAAGAAAAAAAAAACTGCAAGAAAAAGAAATTAACACGCTTACAATCGCTTCTATTGTGGAATTATACAGTAACGCTTCCGAAAACGCTTTGCAGCCGTCGTCTCCAATATTATTTTCACCAACGTTCACTTCCTTAATAAACTTATCGTTCTGACAAGTTAAAGAAAATGCTTTTTTGTGAGACTTGTTTTTTCTTTATCATACATATATAAAATTCTAAATATACCACTAGAGCTACTGCAATAGGCTTAAATGAATTATGATCCAATCCTTGATTTTTCACACGAAAACTGTATTCATCAAAGCGATCTTTTATAAATATGTTTGGAGTTTGTTGAAATTTTCGACAAGCTTTCTCGTAGAGATGAGACGATGGCATAGGAAGAATAAGCGGAAGATGATCTATTCAGATCAATCTTGAATTTATTTTCATATTAAAATACAAGTGAGGGAAACATATATGATATTTTATATACGCTCTTTTTACCGTCGTTATCCAGATCAGTATCGTAATCACTGCTGTCCGTCATATCGAGTTTATTGCAGGCGAATAAACGCAAGCGTCTTTTGTGACTGAGATACGGTTGGTCGGTTAATGAAAAGCTTTATTCTTTATTTTTATTCACCGTTTCGCCGTTTGCACCGTCATTTTATTTGCATATCAAGGAATATTACTTAATTTTTATTTCATTTATTAAGATAATACAACCAAATTCAATAGGTCACGCTTAAATAAGGGAAACTTTCCCTTTTTCTAAATATATATATATATATATATATTGTGTATATGTAAATTTATATATCAAAATTCTGAAAGGCAATATTAGTGATTTTGTTTATTTCTCTTTCATTTAGCATTTTATCAAATACGTTTAAAGCGTCTCTTTCCTTTTATCTTCTCTTTATATTCAGTCTACTTGCGGATTGTTATGGAACAAGTACTCGGCCTGAAAAATAAGAATAAAAGGGATGACAAACCGCAAATACGTGCCATTGAATTAATCCGAATATAAAATTCATTTACCAAGAAATCAATGGGGTCGTCAGGTCTTACTTTACAGGCGTCTATCAATCCCTGTGTTAAAGTTGGCATTACGTGCTTCATTAGATAATTACGAAGAGGTATTGATTGCGTTTCCAACATTTCGTGCTCCTGTCTTTTGACATCATTCAACCTTTCAGTCTGTTTAAGAAGATAAAATGTTTTTTATTTAAAAAGAAAGATTTGTTCCTACTCTATCTATAGGTTTAATACATATATAAAATGTACCCATTCGTCTTGACGACGTTTTCTCTCAGCAGCCTCCTCCTTTTCTTGTCGTTCCCTTTCTCTTTTGTCTTCCTCCTCCTTCTTAAGTCTTTCTTCTTCTTCTCTTCTCTTTTTCTCTTCAATTTCATCTTGTGTTGGTCCGTAGTTTCTTGGTTCTCCGACTTTTTTTAATATTCTTGAAATTATCATTTTATTATCAATAGTCTTGTCTTGAGTTATATCTATTGTCTCAGCGTGAATCTCATTTTCTTCAAAGAAATTTAACATTGTTACATCATCTCCGTTTGTTTCAAGGAAGGTTTTTAAACGCCTTAAAAGACCCTTTTCATCGGTATGATTTTGCACGACAACGCTTTCAGGTAAATTCATAACCCGATTTCTTAAAAATTCATCATCCGCCTGTAGAGATATGACAAATTCGGGTGTTATAGTTTTATCGTATTTGATGGCTCCAGTCTCTTCCTCAGCATCTTCATCTTCGTTAGCAAATAGGTCCTTTGTCTGGTCAATTGTCTTAGGGAATCCATCGAGAATAAAGCCTTGATTTTGACATCTAACAGATTTTAATGTTTGCTTGACCAATCGAAGAATATATTCATCGCTAATACGACCATCGTTAGTCTTCTCATCTTCGTCTATGGCTGCTAGTAATTCTTCATCTTCGGCCGCTGTTCCATCGTCTTCCTCCTCCTCGGCTTCGTCGATTTGAGCTCTTGCAGCCGATTTTTTTAATCTTTCCTTAGATTCCGCAATAACATCTGCTATTTTAATATGATGCAATTTATAATGTTTACATAATTGAGATGCTATTGTTGATTTTCCAGAGCAGGGAGGACCATGGATAAGTATTCTCAGTGGTTGTAGAGCTCTGGATTCTCTGTATTCCCTAACAATCGTATCAATATTTTCCAATATACCAGTCTCACTAGCCCAACGTATATGCATATTCTCTCTAATAAATACCCCATCCATCCTCAAATTAACGAGTAATTGATCAAAATCAGCTTGCTGAATATCTTTGCTTAACAGAGCATCTTCTTTAGCAATATGCTTTATTTTACCAGTTCCCAATGCCTTAGAAACAGCTTTTACTATCTCTTCCAAGGTGTGCTTAGAATCATCAGCCGCAATTAGATATCGAATTTTAGGTCTGGAATCCAAAATGTTTTGAATAACGGCAGCAAGATCGCGGATATGAATTGTGGGAATACAATTCTGACCAGCTCCGAAAACATGTAAGTGTTCCGCATTGTGCCAAGCAGCCTAACCGAAAATATTTAAATTTATAGCAATACCAAAAAAACAAATTATAAACAAATAGAAACCTTAAAGAGATAATGAAAGATATTTTCTTCAGCACCATACGTTAGTCCGGAAGCTATGACATAAGTCGCAAGTTTTGATTTATTGGTCTTACCCAATTTAATAACAGTTTTCTCCGCATTTATATGATCTTTCCAATTGGGATGAGCCCTTCTTCTTCTATAATCTTCTTCAGTGAATGGAATTTCTGTATCGTCCTATAAAAAGAAAATGATTTCCATATAATCCCTATAGAGTTGTGATTTTCTGCCAAAAAAGTTACTTACAGGATCCAATGGTTTGCTGTTGGCCCATGTCATTGCTGACGATATCAGTACAAACATTTTAGGTTTTTCCAATCGGTCTAAGTCGGCGTGAAGTTCAGAAACAACCCAGATAGCTTCATCTATAATTTCTGGCTGTTCAGTTATATCATAAACTATCATATCGCACTCAATTAAATGTTCTAAAAGTTGTTCTCTGTTTCTGTACTGTAAAATCTCTTTAACAAAGGAAGGCTTGTCTCTAATTTTGTCTTTTTCCCGATCAAGAAAGGAGCTTATAACTTGATAACACCCTTCTTTCGTCTTTCTATCCATATCTCCACTGGCTACTGAGCCAGTTTCCTCCTCTTCTTCTTCAATCTCATCCAAGGAAGCTCCGACCACACATTGCGATAGGTACTACAATGAGAAAAGTTTCGAAAGTGCGCCAAAGAAATTATTAAACTATTAATCTAACCTTTGCCACATTTTTCCCTTGATAAGTATCGCAGTAGTTAACGAAAACTCTTTTAGATTCAATTGCTTCATCTTCGTTACCTGCCATTTTGTATTGTTGCATAGCAACCCCAAAAGCGTAGATACTACTACCAGTTTATTCAAAAACTTTGGGATTTCCGTCTGAATCTTTTACCGCGCTGTTGACTTTTAAAAATTTCTTTCTTCTTCCCAGATAGATTCTCCAAAAAGATAAAGTATCAGTTTTTCAAGAAAAGTGATTAAAAAATAAAATATTACAAATATCGCTGTTGATTCGTATTTATAATTTTTAAATTATACAAATAATTTGGCTATTCTTTAAAATTTGTATTATCTAATTATTAAATAATAGTATTTTAACATTATAGGTATATAGACACAGTTGTTTAACGCTTGTTTACGGAATATTGGACAAGAAAAGATACAATTTATTACAATTGACAAAGACTAACAACATTTGAAACGTTGCTCTGTAACATATAAATCTCGAAATCGTTCTGTAACCTCTCTCTCTCTTTCTAAAATTTCAAATCGATCCTTCTTAAGGACAAGAGAAGGTATTTAGAAGGTTAGCTGGCAAAAGTGTAAAGCATGGAGAGGAGAGCAATAAAATACTTTAAACTTTTAAAAAGGGAACTGTTTTACATTTAATATCCACTTTACAATAATAATTTGATCATTCCCTCAATTGTTATAAACATAAACTTGTCTAAGATAAAAAAGAAGCAAACTCTTTTTAAATGAAATAAACAATAGGGTTAAGGAGCTAGAGGAAGATAGTCCTATTCTAAGAAATTCAAGAGTTTGCATTGAAACATTACATTTTTTAAAGTGCAAAGTATATTCCCATAAAACTTCTTCCGTGTAAGCCTTTTTAAAACGATATTTTATTCTACTAAAAGTGTTTGAATGTGACACTTAGGTTCTTTTTGTGTCAAAAGAACAAACAAACCAAATGAGAACAATAATAATAATAATAAAACGAGAGCTGAAAAAAAGATGACAAACATTTGCTTGTTTACTGCGAAAATTACGCAGTAAACCTAGGATATTTGTTGAAAATTTTCTGAATATCTCCATCTCTGTCTGTTTATGAGACAATGGTGTATTATATTAACTTGGAATAATTCTAAACTTGAACCATTTCACTCTTCTATTAGACCAATTGTTGTTTTTCCTACGTTTGCAATTGTAGAAATATAGTGGTTAAATAAACATATATCTTTACATTAGCTATATTGTTTTCGTAATTTTGACCTTTTAGAGAAGATTTTTAATTCCTCTCTTTTTTCATTAACAAAAGTAAAACTTTATCAATTTTTTGTTAAATTTGAAATGTTTATTAGCAAATAGATTTCTTCACAAATATCTAAACTGACACTATAGGTAAATTATAGAGGAGGGAGAGAGAGAGAAAGAGAGAAAGAGCCAGAGAGAGAGAGGGAGAGAGGGAGAGAGATACGGATGGCTGGCAACACAAGAAAGAAAACAGATAAAAAAAATACATATAAAATAAAAGAATTAGTGACAATTTTGCGAACGTTAAATGCAAAAAACTAAAGAGAAAACTGGTGAATAAACTGTCTAAAAGTTGATAAATAGAAGGCCTTGTCAATTGTAGGATAAAAGCAAAAGAATGGAGGAAATAGGAAATTATAAGACTTATTATTTTTGCTGTTATTTCTTTTGCTCTCTCTTAAGACTCTTCTTCGAATACATCTTGTTGCTGGTCAATGATATCTGTGTCCGCTCTAATAACAGACAATCTCTTCTTCATTCTGCTTGTTAGCGGAGGAATATAAGGTCTCGGCAGAAGAAAAGTTGACAGATTAAATAAATCGTTAAAGACTTTGTATCTGTCGGATACAGTTGATCTTAAGTAGAGATATCCTGATGATCCTCCTGAACCTGTTTTACTTCCAATCATTCTTTGTACTATCATTACGTGATTGTATCGCCATTTTGTAAGAAGAGAATCGATATCTGTCAGGAGTGTTAGAATTTGAAATGGTTGATGAAAACGTGGTTCATCTCTGTATAAAGCAATCATTAAGGCTCCTTGAAAGGCTTGATGGTTTAAACGTCTCTCTCCTCGACTGATGCAAGATTTGTGCATATCATCATCCATGATCGATTCAAAAGTTTCTTTTTGCTTTTTCCAAGCCGCCATCTTGCTTTCCTTCTTGGCTTCATCCTTTTCCTAAACAAATCAAAAGAACTATAAGTAATTTTTTATGTAAATGTACATGTGAATGATCTATCACCTCTTTTGCCGGGATTTCAAACTTGTCTTCCAAAAACATTCCAACAGAGTGACAATATTTCGGCCAAAAGTTAAAGCTGGCAACGTCTAGACCAGGCGTTCTTTGTAACCAACTTTCAACCAACTGAAATAGAGAAGGCTCTGTCTCCGAAGCGATGATTCTCTTAACAGCCTCATCGTCCTTGAAAGCTTCCCTGTAGTGTTGTTGGTTGTATTTAACGCGATTTGTATTCTGAATTCCTAGTTTATTCTCCAATAAACGAAATTGTAAACTTTGAAAGCCAGAAGCTGTAGTTAGAATATCTCGAAAAGCCATAAAGTCTAACGGAGTCATACTCTCTAAAATCATAAACTGATCGACTAGTAATTTCAATATCAGCACGATTCTACTAAGTCGGGATATTATTAGCAGACTATGCCTTTCGTCCATCACACTTCTAGCGGTAAACATGTCTCGTACAGAATCCAATTCAAAGATAATTTGCTTGAACCATAATTCAAAAGCTGAAGAGCAGAAGATAAGTTTATTATCTCAATTAAAATTCTAGTTTAATGGGATCAATTATTAAAAGAGTAACCTTGATGTGTGATGATAAACAGATGTTCATCGTGGACTGCCTGTCCCGCAATCTTTTCGGATAATAAAACTTGACTTGTTAACACTGTGTCTAGCTATAAATGAAAGGAAAAGATAAAGAGACAAGAAAATTACATTTTGAAATCTTTTTAACATACTCTCAGATATTCTTCATAAACGTAACCTGCATCGAACAACTTCACTCGATTGACCCCAGATTGACTGATATCCTCATTAATTCCATCTTCTTCCTCCAAAGCTGCTGCGGCGTATCTATAAAAAGTGAATGATAAATTATGAAAGAAAAATTTCTTTAAACTATTAAAAAGATAGAAAAGAAAAGTTTTCAAAAACTTCACTTTGCCAACATACCTGCAAGCCATTTCAAGCTAAAATAAAGAGGAACATGTACCTACGAGCGACATCTAGTAGTATAAAATGTATATCTGGGATATCTATGGGACAATGTGAGAATATCAATCGGAAAAGGCATTCATGTGATTGAAATATTATATTGCGAAAATAAAAATGATTTATTTGATCAATTGCTATCCAACTAAGTTAAATGATGCTCAAAAGGATAAAAATTACTTAGTATTTGAATAGAGAATCGTTAAAAATAGCAACCGGATTGGATATGTACTGTATACAGTACATATTATACAGCATATCATTACAATATAGTAAAGAGTTAACAACAGAAAAATAGGTTATATCGACATTAAATACATGATTAAACTATATTTATAAAAGAAAAATGAAAAATCGATCATGTATTTTATGAATTTTTAAAGAAATCAGCCAAGTATGAAATTATATTTCTTCACTATTTACAACAGATGGCATTCTATGAACTTTTAAATTCTTTTTTTTGTGCATAATCTTGATTTTTCAATTATGTTTTTTTTGTCCTTTTGTACTTTGGAACATAACCTTTACGTTACGTATATACTGAATATCGAACAATAGTTTACTTTTTCTATTAGTCGAATATCTCATTTGTTCTATGTTCTTTTTTTATATAAATATATAGAAATAAATTAGAATTAATTAAACACTTTTAGTTAACGAATTTATTTATTATTTTATAAAATTATTTCTTAATTAAATAGGGAAATTTAGATACATATTAGCTTATTTCAGTATTATATTCCATTTTTAAATTACCCGCTGCGTTTCGCTCTTCTCTGTTTTCGTATCTTTTCTAATCTGAAACTTAAAATAATAAATTAATAACCTACTTGATTTTTTGATCTAGTTAAGTTGTTTATATATTTAATTATTGTTGTGAGAAAAACGAAAATCACGTTACTAACGTGACGTCATAGTTGACCAATCATATCCATTTGACTATTCGGTAGCCATATTGAAGATTTTCTGTGGGGGCTATTTTGGTGTGAAAAAGACGCAAAATATTCTTCTACACGCGCGTGTTCGCCCTCACCGACAATTGTTTTGTAAATTAAAGCAGAGATGACTACGATGAATCCGGAATAGTAAGTAACTAATCTTTCTGAAGTTCTTTCAAGACAGGATTTTGAGTCAACGTCATCAACGGAAGTTTCAGCTGTCGAAGTGGGAGTTTTTTCTTGACGATTAAATAGCACTAAGCTTATTTAGTCTCAATGAAACATAAAATATTTCTATTATCTTTATAACCACATTATATCATTCGTTTGCGATGGTTTTGGATGTGAAACTTTCAATGATTAGCAATTAGTCAGAAAAAAAAATATTTCGTTTTTTATAAATGATAAAAACCAGGACAAATTAGAAAAATACTATAAGTAAAGTGCTAATTGTGATACATTAAGTCTGGAATATGCGCTAATTCTATAGATTAAAAAAATAAACAATTTTACAACAATTAAAATAAAATGTATAGTTTAGGCACCATCTGCTTTGAATACCAGGGCACTTAAAATCTACGGGCAAATTGATCTATTTGCACTTCGATTCAAACTGATGGGTATAGTTAAATTAAGACTACGAAATAACAGTGATGATTCACATTCCACGCGTTTAGATCGACGTAAGACCTAGATGGCGCTGACATTTTTTATTACAAAAACTTGAGAAAATATATTTTTTCATTATAAAAATAAGAGATTGAATAGAATGTCGAATGGAAATTTTTGTTCTTATACTGTACCCACAGATCCTAAATTTGTGGCTGAAACAGACTTGTAAGATTGTTTTCAGGGGAACACATTCAATTATTACTGCTTTGGATTATATTTTGTTTTTTAATTACAGCGATTACCTTTTCAAATTACTTTTAATTGGAGACTCTGGAGTAGGAAAATCTTGTTTACTGCTACGTTTCGCTGATGATACATACACGGAGAGTTACATAAGTACTATAGGAGTGGACTTTAAAATACGAACGATCGAACTGGATGGAAAGACGATAAAATTACAGATCTGGGATACAGCTGGACAAGAAAGATTTAGAACGATAACTTCGTCTTATTACAGGGGAGCTCATGGAATAATTGTTGTCTATGATGTTACTGACCAGGAATCGTTCAACAATGTCAAACAATGGCTACAGGAGATCGACCGTTATGCCTCGGATAATGTCAACAAGTTATTAGTAGGCAATAAGTGCGATTTAACGCCGAAGAAGGTTGTAGATTATACTACCGCCAAGGTAAGCTATTTGTAAGTAAATTATATTTGAATTTATTAAATACCGTTTTTTCATTAGGAATATGCAGATCATTTGGGCATTCCGTTTCTCGAAACGTCGGCCAAAAACGCGACGAATGTAGAACAAGCGTTTATGACAATGGCGGCAGAGATAAAGAATCGAATGGGCCCTACTGGAGGCGCTGCTGGTGCGGATAATAAGAATGTTAAGATTACTGGTGGAACACCCGTCAAACAAGGCGGTAGCGGGTGTTGTTAAAGAAAGGGAAGAAAATATATATATATTTTGATAGAGCTGTACTTCTCTATCCGACATTCCTCTTTCGTCGCGGCGCGCTCTATCAAGAACTGCCTGCCCAAGTTGCAGTGGTGCCGTTTTAAGCCATTTTTTCAGTGCATGATCGTCTTAATGATTTAGCATCAGTTATACATAATTATACATATTGGCATATATACATATATATATAAATACACTCGGTAATGAACAATTTCTTATTTATATTTATTTTGAAATTTTTTGTTTTTCACGTGAAAAAAACATTGTATTCGTCAATGTAAAATGTGTGTTTTTATATATATTACATATAAATAACATATATAATATATATATAATTATATATATTTTTACATATATATATATATATATTTATATATGCATACATACAAATAGAATTACAAACGAAAAGCAAAAATCTACGATCATATACTATAAAAATTTGTTTGAAAGCCAAAACAGCAAACATTGTACGGCACAGCCTTGAGACAGCTTTGTATAAAAAATAAGCACCATTAGATGCAGGCAATAAACAAAATTTAAAACGGCGCTTGTCCGTTCGGCCATTGCAAACGTAAGTCCATGGCAGATTCAAGCGCTGACCATACACAAGCAAAATCTTCATCATCCATTATAGGTACTAGCGCTGATGCTGCTAATAAAGTCATTAAAAGAATTTGTATAGGGACGGATCGGTATATAATTCGACGCCATCTTGACACATGTTCAAAGCGGGCGCTGTTGAAGTAAAATTGAATTAGGATTGAAGTTCCTTTATTAGATATAACATGCAACAGTCATAAAGGTACTGAAAAACTAAATGCGTATTTTTTTGTAACGACAATAAAAGTAAATTTAAGAAAATGGGGAAAAAACCAACATGCTTAACGCCGTACAGAAAATATATGATTAAAAAAAGCCCACCTGTAACCATGTTGTCAACCACTTTTTTGGCAGCTTGTGTAATGCATACAAATTGACTTATATATATAAATATATATTTTGTTCAATTAAAGAACAAATAAAAGAGGAAAGACAAACAATAAAAGCGTGCTTTTTAAATAAGGAAAATAGCACAAAAAACTGTACGGCGCATGCGGTACACTACTACGGTAAAGCAAATCTTTACCCTTCGGCTAATGGTAGTTGCGTCGGTTCTGCTTCCTATTTGCATATACGTGTATATTCACAATTGCTTAAAAGGGAAGAATATCCCAAATATACTAAGCGTTATAAACTTACCGTAGAGTAGTTTCGTACGTGTCTTGGTAATAAATCTGGAGTGCTGCCGTAGCGTCTTTCAAGAGCTACGCTAGTTGTTGATCTTCTTGCACTCCTCGGTAAATCTAGGGATCTCTCAATTCGGGACATATAAGTTGATGTTAGACTCAATAGAGTCGTCAGACGACCAACTAGATCTCTAAATTGCCAGTTAGCCATATCATCACTTCCTTCAGCCAGTTGTTCCACGGTATCTTGCAAGGAAAGAACTCTGGGTTGTGTTCTCTCTAAATCATCCCTTAAATGTCTTAATTTTCCATATTTTGCTGTTAGAGTTGATTGGTCGTCTTCGCTAATTGGCTTACAGGTGTGAACGCCTTCTTCAGCCCCTCGGAGCCATTGTACTAGGGAATTGACTTGACGACGGATATCAGCACTTTCTCCTAAAGCCATTTGCAATTGGCCCTGACGGCGTTTTGCTCTTTCAGTAGCATGTTGCCATCGTTGATTCAGAGCTAGAAGACGTTTTTTAAGACGTTTGGAGGCTTCCGGAGAGGCCTGTTCTATGAGTTCTTCCGACAGAATGTTCAACGATAGTAAAACAGGCTTTCTAGCCTCAAGAGAATCTAGCAAAGCCCTATGGGATCTGTTAGCTGATTTTATACTCCCAACATCGGTTGGTGTAGTTTCTTGTGTCACATCAATTTCATCTAACCAAGAGTCAAGTTTTCTCGTATCTTCTTCCAACTGACGCCACTGATCTCGTTTTCTTCTAGCTCTTTCTGTTTTGTCCTCAGCAACTCGTCCCATCGTATCCAAGTTCGATCTGATAGCGTCCATTTGAGCATGAACTCCTCCGGTCATTTCTTCTAAGCCAACTTCAAATCGTAATTCTTCCTCTCTGTTCCTTAATTGATCCCTCGCTTGTCGACATCTGGCCATTGCTTCATTATATGCTTCGCAGGCTTCGTCTCCTATTGGAGTTGGAGATCTTAATATCGTGTCAGCATCACTAATAGCTGAAGTTACTGAATCCAGAGCTTGTTCATATTGCCTCATATAATCATCACTACGAGTCGTCAGATCAGCAAGTTCTACTGAATCGGATATCGATTCCTCATCAGAGAGATCAGAGTCTATTTCTAAGGTTAAAGGTGGAACGGTAGCGGCTTGGCTTCTTGCAGATTGCAACTGAGAAAATACTCTATTGCAGAGAGTGTGAACATCATCTCTTAAGCTTTTAAGACGTTCTCCATCAGCTGGTTGACAAACGTCGAGCAGAGAACGAAGACTGGTATCTAACTGTTCAATATGAGCTTGTTGTTGTTCAAGTTCTCTATATATATCCTGGAGCATGTCTAGATCTTGACTTCCAACAGTATTTGAAACACGGCCTTTCACTGTGTGTAACCAGGCTATTAGTGATTGCCTGCAAGATTTAAATTCTTCATGATTAGCAGTTTGATATCGCAAGCGTTTAACTGCCGTTTTGCACTGAGATTGAACATCATCCCAACGAGAATTAATAACTTCTACTTGAGATTTAAGAGATCGCCCAATATCTGTCCGACCATCTCTAGCTAGCTGACGATAAGTTCGGTTTAGAGCATCCAAATCTGCTAAATGTGAATGTAATTCGTTTTGGAGCTCCTCCACACGTCTAGTTGAGTCTTTTAAATTGTGTAAACAAGTCGGTTCAATACAAGCAGCAAGAATACGCTCAGCCTCTCTCAACCAGGATGAAATAACTTCTGATTTTGAGGAGAAGTCTTGCCAATTTTTTCCTGTTTGTTCCAGCATGACTCGCCGTTGAGTGCTTAGAACACATAAGTTTCTCCATCTACTGTCTAGGGATGTTTTAACTGATTGAATAGAGTGCATTTCAGCAGCCGTGGGACAAGCATCAGTGTCATTCATTAAGACGCTACACAAGTTCAAAACTGCAGCTATTCCAGCCGCGTGTCGTTCTAAGTCTCTTTGAGTATCAGTATGTTCCAAAAGATGTTTATGTAACTCGCCCGAGTCTGGTTTACTGAAAGATGGTGGAGTACTTAGCCTTTTTTCCGCATTGGAAAGCCAATCCTTTAATCTGCTCATGCTACTATCGAGTTGTTGAACAGCTGCTACAGTGTCATATAATTTCCTTCGTCTTAGACACAAATGATCTTCTAATTTTTCTGATTTATCCTTTAAGCTTATTAATTTTCTTTCAATATCGGCTGCTCGTAATTCTCCAGCACCCATCATCAGCTGTTTGCCTTGCTGTTGTAGACCTGTTACAACATCTCTCATAACATCAGCTTCCTCTCTCCAATCGCCACACTCCTCCAACCTCTGCAAAACCTCTTCACATGCACTATGCTTACAAACACTAAAAATCCTTGTTTGAAGCTCATCCATTCTATCGCATGTATCTTTGACTTCTTGATTCCAGTTCGTCCATTTGGCTAGCCTATCTTGTATTAGACTTTTTCTATCTTCTACTTGGTTTTTTAATTCTTTCCACTGTTTCTCAAGAAGATCCGATCTAGCATTTAACACGGCAATCTCTTCTGGTGAAGCGTTTACAGCTACCTCTGCGATATCATGGCGAACCAGGTCTAATCTACCCTGAGCAGCGATGAATGCAGCTGCTAGATCATCACATTCATGTAAAGAAGAACGAAGAGTATCATGATCTTCAGGCATTTTCTGTGAGAGAGTAGTTCTGACTCTTCTTAACCATGACAGCATTTCATCTAGAGATTCATTTGCATTATTCCAATTACGGAGAGCAAGGTGGATATCTTGTTTCTTCTGGTCAACTTTCTCGAGAGCTTCCAACCATTCTGTTTGTAAAATCCCTGTCTCGTAAATCTGACCAAGTTCTTGGCCGAGATTCTGCACTCTGTCATAAAGTTGATGATGGCCAGCAAGATCCCTTTCATGTGTCTGCAAAGGAGAAATTTTCATTTAAATTTAGCTTGTTAGGCAGTAAGAATTTTGCTCTGTAGTGGCTGCGTTGACAAACAAACAAAACTAAGCCTCTAGATAGCCTCCTATTCTTTAACCTTAATTCATGTTAAGTGATGGCAAATTAAAAAAACGTGATCAAATTGGTTAGATATTTAACGCTAACTCCTTAACAACCTCTAGCCAATATGATGAGCCTAATAAAGCTCGACCAACAACGCGTACGCATGTAAGAACATCCAGTTGTTCGATGTGAAATGATACTCGCTAGATTAGATTTTTCAATAATCATTTCTCTTGCTGATAAATTGGTTTAAAACAGTTTTAACTATACCTGTAGGGTTTGTAAGTTGACTTGAAGAGACTGCAAGGATGGACTTTTTGCAGCAAGCATCATGTTCAATTCGTCATTTAATTTTTTCAGAGAAGTTGACAGCTTGTCTTTACAATCTTCAAAGCTATTCCATTTACATACAGCTTCATCAATAAGCCGGTGTCTTTCATCTGCTCTAAGGATGACTGAAGCCCACTGTTCTTTCATTAAATCAATTTTACTTTCCTCTAAGTTTGCAACTTCAGCGTCCGCCACAATTGAATGGAAGGCACTTTGCCGGCTGGCCAATTGATTATTCCAACTTCTTGCCTCGCTTGCTTGTCTTTTTAAGTCATTAAAATTGGTATAAGCAATAGGATTAGCCAGTTGTCTTTCAGCTTCGGATAATGTTTGAAGCCAATCTTCGCACTTATTTGTAAACTTAGTAGAGGCATTTACTTCCTCCATCCTTTTCTTGTAAGCTTGGTTAACGGCTGCTTTTAGACCATGCCATTTAGAAAGTGTTTTTCTTGCTCTGGCAGTATCCTCTTCACTCAGAGCTGTTCTATATAATTTTCCAGTAAGAGATTCAATGTCGTTTTCCAAAAACTTTAAAATTTCTACTCCGGAGTCATCATCGACATGACTCTCACAGTCACTTATTTGTTGTTCAATCATATCAAGCTCGTTTTTGATATGGATAACATTCTCAGTATTGGTTTGCAGCTTGTCTTTCGCTCTTTCAATTTGATGCTTGGACTCAGTAATCTGGCCCAATTTTTCTTCAAAGCGACCTATCAAACGAGCTCTTGTAGTTCTTTCAATTTCCATTTGAGAGGCTGATCTTAATAATTGTTCACACTCAGTCTTCAATTTATCTAGTCGATTTTTTAGTGTAATGCAGCTTCCTAAATAAACTTCAAGTTCACCATTCGCACCATGACAATTTACTAACAATTGGGCGATATCATGCCTGGTCGTTTCAAACTCATTCTCGAATCTACTTGTGTCAATTTCAAGAGTATGCCATATTGATAGTATACTCTTCCAACGGTGTATTCTTTCTGCTAAAATTCGACAAGCATGAGTGTGTCTTTCCCTGACTGAGCTTACACCTTCTCGTATTTCGATTGCAATTTCAGGAGGCACGATATTTACCAGTTTGTTAACAGTTGATGCTAAATCGTTGATCGGTGCTCTGTTTGAATCTTCTAGTGCGTTTTCTACTTGTTTCAGTTGAAGGGCTAAGCTTGATGCGTCCCCTGATGCTTCTGTAAAGCGCTCAGTTGCATATTCAGCGTGTGAGACAATCGCGTTGCAAGCTTGCTCATTATCATCATGGGATAACCATAAGTCAAAAATTTCATGAAGATCTCTTTCCTCCTCCTTAGCTCTTCGTGCAACTTCTAGCCATTTGTTTGAGAGTGTGTCAACAACTTTCAAATCTTTTATAATGACTATTTCTGTTTCTGCTGCTTTATCAACTACTTCTTTAGCTTTATTTCTAAGATCTTCGATTCTTGATTCCTTATCTCTAAGAGAATCAAGAACTTGCCTTGCGTCTTTTAGTCCAGCCATGACACTATCTGCCTTTCTAATAGCTGCTCGGCGTCTCTTTAAGCGATCCATTTCTTCATTGAAAAAAGATTCGAGAGATAAAACATCCTCCTCCACACCCTTCCAAACGGCATCTACTGAATTCAGCATTGTAATGGCCTCTTTGATTCTTGCACTCATGAGACCATAAGAATTGTTCATTTCACCGATGTTTTCTGCTATTTTATCATTATCCAGATCAGATGTTGCTTTGTCATTTACTAAATCAACAGCACCTTGTCGACTTTCTAGTTCAACTCTGGTTTCATTCAGTTTCTCAATAATTGAGCCTAGTTCCTGTCTGGTTGACACAGAACTTCCATGTATTGAGTTTAGATATTTTTCAATGTCAGACAATGTTGTCAAAACATGGTCTAGAGCTCTTTCTGTTGGTAATCTTGAGGTTCTGCTCATGTGAGCTAGACTTTCCAGCTGTTGTAAATCCATTTTTAGTTTGCCCCACTCTTCTTTTACTCTAATGGTTCTACTTTCAATTTTATCATAATCTGGTGGTTCATAGCAAAGTAGATTCATTGTTAATTCATCTAGGCGTTGGTGATCTTCAACTCTGGCTGATACTTGTTGCTTTAGAGTGAGAAGCCTGTTCATTGATGTATCAATCATATACTCCATTGGAGTGCTTTTCAGACTTTCCATTCTAGTAGAGGCTGTTATTAACCAATTTTCAAAACCACTAATTTCTCTTTGCCATTCGTTTCTGGCATCAACAACATTTGCTAAGCGTTGATGTAGGTTGTCAGCCATTTTCATTGTATCATTCCAATCCTCTCCTAGTTCATTCAACTCTATATTCAAAGTTTGGCAGCTAATTTTCTCTAACAATTCCTTACCAATTCCTAATGTTGCCATTAATTCTGAATGGCGATCGTACAAAACTCTATGGACATCGCAAGCAACTTTTGCACTATAGGCTGATTGACTTGGTGATTGAACACTGTCTTCATATTTAGTTAATCTGTCTTTTTGGAATTTTAAAACAGTCTGAAGTTGTTTCACGTTTTTCTCTAATTTTGTCCAGTCTCTTATTAACTTATCTAACAGGGCAGCCCTTGCACCAGCCTTTTCTTCAATGAGACGAGCTTCGTCGAGAACTTTCTCGTGCCATTTCCTATGACGGTTTCTTGTCGAAATATCGACACTTTGACTAAGGTTATCCAAGATTGAACAATGGGATGAAAGATTCTTAAAAAATTCATTGTGGTGTTGCTTATTTTCCTTAAGGAGAGACACAGAACGGCAAGGGACCTGGGAGGTTGCAAGTTTAGATTGAGCTGTTTCAACGAAGTCGGATAATTCTTGCAAAACTTGCTCGTATTGATTCTGAAGAGACGACGCTTTATTCAAATAAGCTCGAGTTTCTACTGCTTGTTGCTGCAACTCAAGACAATGCGATTGCAAGGAAGTGAGCTCAGGAGTTGGGGTGCAGTCATTTTCAGTAAATTCATTTATCTTTTGCTCAAAATTTAGTGCTTTTCTATCTAGCTCTTCTATTTCCTCTCTCTGACGTTCAAGAGGAGATTCTCGTCTTAGTGTTTCGGCGTATTGCCGTCGGAGGTCTATTAAATCCTTTTGAACCTGTTCCATTGCATCTTTCAATCTAGATTTTTCTCTCTCTCTTTCTCTTTTTATTTTATCTTTGGTATCTGCTCTTTCCTCTAATGCTTCTACTCTGGCTGTTAAATCATCTAAAGACGTGAGGTTTTCACGGACCCTGGGTGAGGTGCTTTGCAATTGGTCGCAAACTGCTTGAACAACATCCATGTTGCCATGGAAATGTTTCAACTGTTCATCTACATCATCTTCATCATCGCTAGCTGAGGATAGAACGATTGGTTGGACATGATCTAGCCATTCAGTCATTGTTTCTAATGTTTTGCCATAAGCCTTTTGCAATTTTTCAACATGCTGTAACCGAGCTTGTTGACTACTATCAGCGTGAGATTGAACGTCGGATAAGCAAGCTTTTAGAATTGCTATACTCTCGTCAACTGCATTTGACAACTCTAATCCGGTTTCATTTATTAGTTCGGGAATATTTGGAGTCACAAATGGTTGTAATATCTAATAAAAAAGGAAAATAATAGAGAAAACATTGCATATGTATGTTTTGCTTACTGGTACAGTATTTTGAGCGAGAATTTCATCTAAATAACGCCTTTTCTCTGCCAATTTCAAAGATAGAGCTCGCATTTTTACCTCAGGTTCATCAATTTCCTCTTGCCATTCATCTTTTAAAACCTTTTTTGCATCTTCCGTGAATTGCTTAACAAAGTTTTGATGCTGAATTAGTTCTTCTTGCAGTTTCTATAGTAAATATTTTAACAAGTTAAGGATAATTTGACAGCTAGCATTTTTAGTGCATATTTCTTTTATACACATTATTCTGAATAGTATAAGGTGTGTAAAATCTGTAAAGTAAGTCTGTACCTCTCTGATATCATTATCTTGATTTTCAACATAAAGCGTGCTTTCTCCAACGGGTTCGTTCTTTCGACTCTTTTCTACCCATCTCTTAAGCGTTTCTTCAGATTGTTCAAAATTTTTTAGATCATCTTTCAGCCTATTCGATACAACAAGAGCAGTTTGAATTTCTTCCTGTCTTGTGCAAGCCTCAAGTTGCAGTTCGGATGTTGCGTTTTGTAATTCAGCTAACCGCAGCTTGAGAGTTTGTTCTTGTGCTGGTGTGGCATTTTCTTGTAATTGTTCACATCTTATAGCAAATTCATCTAGAATCAGCAAATTATTCGCCAGGTCCCGTTGATTTTGTTTCACTGATTCTAAGTCTTCTTCTGTAGGATTTATAGGCAATGAATGAGACTTTGTTTTTTCCTCGGCCAGCCAATTTTCGTATTCTTTTAAATCACTCATGTATTCCTCTAGCGCATTTTCATGCTCCTGCTTTTGCTGTTTCGTAAGTTTTAGGCTATTGTTCAATTCATCTGCTTTGTCTTGTAAATGTTTAAACTTTTTCTCTGTTAATGACAAGGAGGATAGCATAGTTTCATTGACCTGAGTGTCTTCTGATTTTTCAGCAATGATTTGACTGACATCTTGCATAGCTTTTAGATCTGATTGAGCATTCCTTAGCTCATCTAGAGCTCTGTCTATCTCTTCATTGCTTGTAGATGTTGGAAAAGACTCTACTCTATTTAAAATATCTTTAACATACTCCAATTTTTCATCCAGATTAAGTTGAGCAGTTTCGAGGGACTCGTACTGTATCAGTTGTTTTTGTAGTTCGGCATCTCTTTCTGCAAGCTGTAATATTGAAAAAAGCCTATAATATGTTTCATTTGAAAACTTCGTTTTTAAGCACTGAAAACAAGCAGGTTTATATAACAATGAAAATAAGAATTTGTTGTAACAATAATAAATAAAGCAATTGGAAAGCAAACAATCAGGGTCTTTGATGACGTTTGATTATATTCCGTTTGTACATAGGCATAAAAAAATTTTCCATCATCGTGTAATTAAATATTTAGTTTATACCTGGGATTCAAGCTCACTACAAGAATTCTCTAATTCTTGAAGTGAAGAGTTATTTGGATAAAGTAACTGTTGAAAAAAAAAATAGTTCAAAAACCTATCAAAGAAAACAATAAATCTTTGCTTTATGGTAAATCAATAAATTATTTATAGCTAATCAGTTTCCTTCATTTATTCTACCTTCTCGTTCTTATTTCCTACTTCACCCATAATTTCTTCTACTTCCATATCAGTTTCACTTTGATCCAATGCGAAATTAGATATTTCAGCTGTGACTATGCTTTTAGGGCACTCTTTTGTTACTTTTAAGGCATTTGATTGCTGTAGAAAGTCTCTGATGTTCTCTTTTTGCTCATAGAAAGTAGGATCAGTTCCAGAGGATCTCGCATTTTCAGTTGAATGTACAGATATTTCTATGGGTGATACATCAGAGCTATCTATCTGATAAGATTGTGTGTCCTGTGACCTGATAGTACTTAATTTATCAGAATTGTTAATAGTACTATTATAGATTAAATTTTCAATATCAATACTTGATTCGACACTTTTATATAGATTAATTTCAGTTTCTTTGTCTGTGAATATTGGAGAGAAACTATGAATTTCCGTTACTTCTTTAATTTTTTGGCCAGATTCAGAAAGTTTATTTTCTTCATGACTTTTAGTGGAAACATTAAGCTTTTTCGAATTATCTTTCTCAATCTTGCGTGCATTTTCAGAAATATCATTTTCCGGCGCAAATAACTTTTCTCTGTTAGCACAAAGTTCAGTACAATCTGTTTCTTGACTATTTGCGCCTTGCGAAAATTTATCAGCTAAACATTTAATTTCTAGTAGTTTCGAATACAGTACACTAGGGATGAAATGTGCTGTGTTAAATGGCTTGAAGGCAGATTCAAGCTTAGTTTCGTCATATTCGTTCTCGTTCAATTCGACTAGTCCTGATTCCTGGTTCTCAGAAGATAAATTTGTGGAGCTTCTTTCAACTTTTGTTTGACTAATGTTAGACAGATTGTTCTCTTTATTGATTTGAGCACTAGCATGTTCAATATCAAAAGTAGGTTTTTTGGTTTTTTCAAGCATATTTTCTTGAAGATCTCCGAATTTCATATTTTGTTCATTTACATCCCCCTCAACTTTTGAACTGTCTGCACCTTTTGATTCAATATCAGGTCCTTCTGAATCCACTGAAGATGATTCTGACTCGTTGTTTACATTATATTCCTTTGCGTCTTCCATTATTTCAGTAATTTCATATGAAGGTCCCTTAGAAATGTTTTTTCTTCGAAAATATACGCCAAAAAAACCTCTTGCCTGAGAAATTCGATCATAAAATTCTGAAAACGTCTGTTCCGGCTCATTAATTGAATCACTAGCATAAGATTCGTCAAAGTCATTCTCTCTAACAATGCAGGAAGAGTCATAAAAATTCAGTTGACTTTCTAAATTCATTGATGTATCTTGTAGACAGAAGAAATTATCGCATCCAGTTGTAAATTCAGCGCATTCAGAAACGAAAGGAGAAGACGGCAAAATACTTGCTTTATAAAGCGATAAATCCGAAATCGTTGAGATTACTGGAGAGCTTAAAAAACATTTTTTCACTTCAATATTAGGTGTTTCACTAAAAAACTCTAAATATATCGCTCCTACAAAATTCTCTCTATTTTCCTCGAAAACACTATGAATTTTTTCTACATCATTTTCCATTTTGCTTCTTGGAATGTTATGTTCAACATTCTTTTCCTCATGAAAACAGGTGGTTTCTAATTGCGTGGATAAAACAATTTGAAGAAGACTTTCGCCATCTTCCAAGTATTCTTTTATTCTACTTTTTTCATTTACAGGAATATCGTGTTGTTGTTCTGCAATGTGGTTTATATTATCTTCTGCTTCAAAAACTGTGGACTCCATTTGCGTAGTGACCATAATTTGAAGAAGACTTTCGCCGTCTTCCAAGTATTCCTTGCATTCTAAATCATCATTGAAAGAATCTTTTTGTGGCGTAATATATGATGAATCTTTCGTGAAATCATCGTCTTTATGAATGCTTTTTTCATCTAAAGGAATATCGTGCTGTTGTTCGGCAATGTGGTTTTTACTATCTTCTGCTTCAAAAACTGTGGACTCCAGTTGCGTAACGACTATCATTTGAAGAAGACTTTCGCCATCTTCCAAGTATTCCTTACATTCTAATTCATCATTGAAAGAATCTTTATCTGGAGTAATATATGACGCTTCATTGGCGATTTCATCGTCTTTATGAATGCTTTTCTCATCTAAAGGAATATCGTGTTGTTGTTCTGCAATGTGGTTTATATTATCTTCTGCTTCAAAAACTGTGGACTCCATTTGCGTAGTGACCATAATTTGAAGAAGACTTTCGCCGTCATCCAAGTATTCCTTGCATTCTAATTCATCATTTAAAGAATCTTTATCTGGAGAAATATATGACGCTTCATTGGCGATTTCATCGTCTTTATGAATGCTTTTCTCATCTAAAGGAATATCGTGTTGTTGTTCTGCAATGTGGTTTATATTATCTTCTGCTTCAAAAACTGTGGACTCCATTTGCGTAGTGACCATAATTTGAAGAAGACTTTCGCCGTCTTCCAAGTATTCCTTGCATTCTAAATCATCATTGAAAGAATCTTTTTGTGGCGTAATATATGATGAATCTTTCGTGAAATCATCGTCTTTATGAATGCTTTTTTCATCTAAAGGAATATCGTGCTGTTGTTCGGCAATGTGGTTTTTACTATCTTCTGCTTCAAAAACTGTGGACTCCAGTTGCGTAACGACTATCATTTGAAGAAGACTTTCGCCATCTTCCAAGTATTCCTTACATTCTAATTCATCATTGAAAGAATCTTTATCTGGAGTAATATATGACGCTTCATTGGCGATTTCATCGTCTTTATGAATGCTTTTTTTATCTAAAGGAATATCGTGTTGTTGTTCTTCAAAGTGGTTTTTATTGTCTTCTGCTTCAAAAACTGTGGACTCCATTTGCGTAGTGACCATAATTTGAAGAGGACTTTCGCCATCTTCCAAGTATTCCTTCCATTCAAATTCATCATTTAAAGAATCTTTATCTGGAGAAATATATGACGCTTCATTGGCGATTTCACCGTCTTTATGAATGCTTTTCTCATCTAAAGGAATATCGTGTCGTTGTTCTTCAATGTGGTTTATATTATCTTCTGCTTCAAAAACTGTGGACTCCAGTTGCGTAACGACTATCATTTGAAGAAGATTATCGCCATCTGCCAAGTATTCCTTACATTCTAATTCATCATTCAAAGAATCTTTATCTGGAGTAACATATGACGCTTCATTGGCGATTTCATCGTCTTTATGAATGCTTTTTTCATCTAAAGGAATATCGTGATGTTGTTCTGCAATGTGGTTTATATTATCTTCTGCTTCAAAAACTGTGGACTCCATTTGCGTAGTGACCATAATTTGAAGAAGACTTTCGCCGTCTTCCAAGTATTCCTTGCATTCTAAATCATCATTGAAAGAATCTTTTTGTGGAGTAATATATGATGAATCTTTCGTGAAATCATCGTCTTTATGAATGCTTTTTTCATCTAAAGGAATATCGTGCTGTTGTTCGGCAATGTGGTTTTTACTATCTTCTGCTTCAAAAACTGTGGACTCCAGTTGCGTAACGACTATCATTTGAAGAAGACTTTCGCCATCTTCCAAGTATTCCTTACATTCTAATTCATCATTGAAAGAATCTTTATCTGGAGTAATATATGACGCTTCATTGGCGATTTCATCGTCTTTATGAATGCTTTTCTCATCTAAAGGAATATCGTGTTGTTGTTCTGCAATGTGGTTTATATTATCTTCTGCTTCAAAAACTGTGGACTCCATTTGCGTAGTGACCATAATTTGAAGAAGACTTTCGCCGTCATCCAAGTATTCCTTGCATTCTAATTCATCATTTAAAGAATCTTTATCTGGAGAAATATATGACGCTTCATTGGCGATTTCATCGTCTTTATGAATGCTTTTCTCATCTAAAGGAATATCGTGTTGTTGTTCTGCAATGTGGTTTATATTATCTTCTGCTTCAAAAACTGTGGACTCCATTTGCGTAGTGACCATAATTTGAAGAAGACTTTCGCCGTCTTCCAAGTATTCCTTGCATTCTAAATCATCATTGAAAGAATCTTTTTGTGGCGTAATATATGATGAATCTTTCGTGAAATCATCGTCTTTATGAATGCTTTTTTCATCTAAAGGAATATCGTGCTGTTGTTCGGCAATGTGGTTTTTACTATCTTCTGCTTCAAAAACTGTGGACTCCAGTTGCGTAACGACTATCATTTGAAGAAGACTTTCGCCATCTTCCAAGTATTCCTTACATTCTAATTCATCATTGAAAGAATCTTTATCTGGAGTAATATATGACGCTTCATTGGCGATTTCATCGTCTTTATGAATGCTTTTTTTATCTAAAGGAATATCGTGTTGTTGTTCTTCAAAGTGGTTTTTATTGTCTTCTGCTTCAAAAACTGTGGACTCCATTTGCGTAGTGACCATAATTTGAAGAGGACTTTCGCCATCTTCCAAGTATTCCTTCCATTCAAATTCATCATTTAAAGAATCTTTATCTGGAGAAATATATGACGCTTCATTGGCGATTTCACCGTCTTTATGAATGCTTTTCTCATCTAAAGGAATATCGTGTCGTTGTTCTTCAATGTGGTTTATATTATCTTCTGCTTCAAAAACTGTGGACTCCAGTTGCGTAACGACTATCATTTGAAGAAGATTATCGCCATCTGCCAAGTATTCCTTACATTCTAATTCATCATTCAAAGAATCTTTATCTGGAGTAACATATGACGCTTCATTGGCGATTTCATCGTCTTTATGAATGCTTTTTTCATCTAAAGGAATATCGTGATGTTGTTCTGCAATGTGGTTTATATTATCTTCTGCTTCAAAAACTGTGGACTCCATTTGCGTAGTGACCATAATTTGAAGAAGACTTTCGCCGTCTTCCAAGTATTCCTTGCATTCTAAATCATCATTGAAAGAATCTTTTTGTGGAGTAATATATGATGAATCTTTCGTGAAATCATCGTCTTTATGAATGCTTTTTTCATCTAAAGGAATATCGTGCTGTTGTTCGGCAATGTGGTTTTTACTATCTTCTGCTTCAAAAACTGTGGACTCCAGTTGCGTAACGACCATCATTTGAAGAAGATTTTCGCCATCTGCCAAGTATTCCTTACATTCTAACTCATCATTCAAAGAATCTTTATCTGGAGTAATATATGACGCTTCATTGGCGATTTCATCGTCTTTATGAATGCTTTTTTCATCTAAAGGAATATCGTGTTGTTGTTCTGCAATGTGGTTTATATTATCTTCTGCTTCAAAAACTGTGGACTCCATTTGCGTAGTGACCATAATTTGAAGAAGACTTTCGCCGTCATCCAAGTATTCCTTGCATTCTAATTCATCATTTAAAGAATCTTTATCTGGAGAAATATATGACGCTTCATTGGCGATTTCATCGTCTTTATGAATGCTTTTCTCATCTAAAGGAATATCGTGCTGTTGTTCGGCAATGTGGTTTTTACTATCTTCTGCTTCAAAAACTGTGGACTCCAGTTGCGTAACGACCATCATTTGAAGAAGATTTTCGCCATCTGCCAAGTATTCCTTACATTCTAACTCATCATTCAAAGAATCTTTATCTGGAGTAATATATGACGCTTCATTGGCGATTTCATCGTCTTTATGAATGCTTTTCTCATCTAAAGGAATATCGTGCTGTTGTTCGGCAATGTGGTTTTTACTATCTTCTGCTTCAAAAACTGTGGACTCCAGTTGCGTAACGACTATCATTTGGAGAAGACTTTCGCCATCTTCCAAGTATTCCTTACATTCTAATTCATCATTGAAAGAATCTTTATCTGGAGTAATATATGACGCTTCATTGGCGATTTCATCGTCTTTATGAATGCTTTTTTTATCTAAAGGAATAACGTGTTGTTGTTCTTCAAAGTGGTTTTTATTGTCTTCTGCTTCAAAAACTGTGGACTCCATTTGCGTAGTGACCATAATTTGAAGAGGACTTTCGCCATCTTCCAAGTATTCCTTCCATTCAAATTCATCATTTAAAGAATCTTTATCTGGAGTAATATATGACGCTTCATTGGCGATTTCATCGTCTTTATGAATGCTTTTCTCATCTAAAGGAATATCGTGTTGTTGTTCTGCAATGTGGTTTATATTATCTTCTGCTTCAAAAACTGTGGACTCCATTTGCGTAGTGACCATAATTTGAAGAGGACTTTCGCCATCTTCCAAGTATTCCTTCCATTCAAATTCATCATTTAAAGAATCTTTATCTGGAGTAATATATGACGCTTCATTGGCGATTTCATCGTCTTTATGAATGCTTTTCTCATCTAAAGGAATATCGTGTTGTTGTTCTGCAATGTGGTTTATATTATCTTCTGCTTCAAAAACCGTGGACTCCATTTGCGTAGCGACCATAATTTGAAGTAGACTTTCGCCATCTTCCAAGAATTCCTTGCATTCTAAATCATCATTGAAAGAATCTTTTTGTGGAGTAATATATGACGAATCTTTGGCGATTTCATCGTCTTTATGAATGCTTTTTTCATCTGAAGGAATATCTTGTTGTTGCTCTTCAATGTGGCTTTTACTATCTCCCGTATTAAAAACTGTGGGCTCCATTTTCGTAGTGACCATAATTTGAAGCAGACTTTCGCCATCTTCCAAGAATTCCTTGCATTCTAAATCATCATTGAAAGAATCTTTTTGTGGATTAATATATGACGAATCTTTGGCGATTTCATCGTCTTCTGGAATTCTTTTGTCCTCTGAAGGAATATCTTGTTGTTGCTCTTCAATGTGGGTTTTACTATCTCCCGTATTAAAAACTGTGGACTCCATTTGCGTAGTGACTATAATTTGAAGAAGACTTTCCCCGTCTTCCAAGTATTCCTTGCATTCTAATTCATCATTGAAAGAATCATTCTCTGGAGTAATATATGACGAATCTTTGCAGATTTCATCGTCTTCAGAAATACTTTTCTCATCTAAAGGAATATCGTGTCGTTGCTCTTCTATGTGGTTTATATTATCTTCTGCTTCAAAAACTGTGGACTCCATTTGCGTAGTAATCATAATTTGAAGAAGATTTTCGCTATCTTCCAAGTATTGTTTGCATTCTAATTCATCATTGAACACTGTAAGTGAAGGGAAATTCTGGTTTTCTTTCTTTTCTTCTTTGTCATTGAACATCTCTTTATAAACATTGTTCTTCTCAATTTCACAAATTATGAAGGATGGTGACTCAAGATTCGTTGAAAGTATAAGTTCCGTTACGTTTTCATGTTTTATTTTGCTTAAGTCTTTTTTTATTTCTTCACTGATATTTGATGTTCTAGGTACAAAGGAATCTTTGGTCTCTTCCTTATCTTCCCTTTCTATTCCCTCGGTAGCTTTTGATTCGTTTTCTATAACCTCATCTTTTGGTGTTTCAGAGATTACACTCTCTAAGTCACCCTTTTTTAAATTTGTCGATTCGAGATTAGTGGCATTCGAAGCTTCGATTAAGATACACGTGTTTGAGTCGCTTTCAAAATATTCAACGTCGTCTAATACACTTGATGATCGAGGTGTAAAGAACCTTTCACTTTCATCACAATCTTTTGTTTCTGTTGTTTCAGCTTCCGGAACGTCATTACTTTTCGTAACGAATGAGATATCATCAATATCATTTTTCTTGAAATGTGTTGATTCAAGTTGAGTAACGTGCGTTATTTCTCTGACGATTTCATTTGTTATGTCGCTTTGATAGAATTGTAATTCGCTAATTTCACTTGATGATTTTGGGGTAAGGAAAGTTTCCTCGTCTGTGTGACTTTCGGTATCTTTTGATTCATTTTCTATAACCTCATCTTTTGGTGTTTCAGAGATTATACTCTCGAAGTCACCCTTCTTGAAATTTGTCGATTCGAGATTAGTGGCATTCGAAGCTTCGATTAAGATACACGTGTTTGAGTCGCTTTCAAAATATTCAACGTCGTCTAATACATTTGATGATCCAGATGTAAAGAAACTTTCAACCTCTTCACAATCTTTTGTTTCTATTGTTTCAGCTGCCAGAACATCATTACTTTTATTAACAAATGATATATCATCAATGTCAATTTTCCTGAAATGTGTTGATTCCAGTTGAGTTGTATGGGTTATTTCTGTGACGTTTTCAGTTGTTTTCTGGCTTTGATAGAATTGTAATTCACAAATTTCACTTGATGATTTTGGGGTAAGGAAAGTTTCCTCTTCTCGGTGACCTTCATTATCTTTTGAATCATTTTCTATAACCTCATCTTTTGATGTTTCAACAATTTCAGTCTCGAAGTCACCCTTTTTGAAATATGTCGATTCGAGATTAGTGACATTCGAAGCTTCGATTAAGATACATGTGTTTGACTCGATTTCGAAACATTCAAGTTCGTCTAATACACTTGATGATCGAGGTGTAAAGAACCTTTCACTTTCATCACAATCTTTTGTTTCTGTTGTTTCAGCTTCCGGAACGTCATTACTTTTCTTAACGAATGAGATATCATCAATATCATTTTTCTTGAAATGTGTTGATTCAAGTTGAGTAACGTGCGTTATTTCTCTGACGATTTCATTTGTTATGTCGCTTTGATAGAATTGTAATTCGCTTATTGCGCTTGATAATTTTGGGGTAATGAAAGCTTCATTTTCTGTGTAATTTTCAGATTCTTTCGATTGATTTTCTTGAACCTGATGTTTTGACATTTCACAAATTTCACTCTCGTGATCACTTTTCTTGAAGTGTTTCGATTCGAAATTGGTAGTATTCGATGCTTCGATTAAGGTACTCGTTTTTGACACGTTTTCGAAACATTCAAATTCGTCTAATGAACTTGATGATCGAGGTGTAAAGAACCTTTCACTTTCTTCACAGTCTTTTGTTTGTGTTGTTTCTGCTTCTGGAACATCATTGCTCTTCTTAACGAATGAGATATCATCAATGTCATTTTTCATGAAATGTGTTGATTCCAGTTGAGTCGTGTGCGTTATTTCTGTGACGTTTTGAGTTATTATCTCGCTTTTAAAGAATTGTAATTCGCTAATTTCAGTTGATGATTTTGAGGTGAGGAATGTTTCATCTTCTGTGTAACCTTCGCTTTGTTTCGATTCCTTTTCTTGAAGCTCATTTTTTGGTGTTTTGGAGCTTTCACTCTCAAAATGACTTGATGCTCGAGGAGATAGAAATGCTTCCTTTTCATCTGAATGTTTTGTATTTGTGGTTTCAGCTTTCAAAACATAATTGTCTTGACTAGAGAATGAGATGTCATCAATGTCATTTTTCTTGAAATATGTTGATTCAAGTTGAGTAGTGTGCATTATTTCTTTGACGATTTCATTTGTTATCTCGCTTTGATAGAATTGTAATTCGCTTATTGCGCTTGATAATTTTGGGGTAATGAAAGCTTCATTTTCTGTGTAATTTTCAGATTCTTTCGATTGATTTTCTTGAACCTGATGTTTTGACATTTCACAAATTTCACTCTCGTGATCACTTTTCTTGAAGTGTTTCGATTCGAAATTGGTAGTATTCGATGCTTCGATTAAGGTACTCGTTTTTGACACGTTTTCGAAACATTCAAATTCGTCTAATGAACTTGATGATCGAGGTGTAAAGAACCTTTCACTTTCTTCACAGTCTTTTGTTTGTGTTGTTTCTGCTTCTGGAACATCATTGCTCTTCTTAACGAATGAGATATCATCAATGTCATTTTTCATGAAATGTGTTGATTCCAGTTGAGTCGTGTGCGTTATTTCTGTGACGTTTTTATTTGTTATCTCGCTTTGATAGAATTGTAATTCACAAATTTCACTTGATGATTTTGGGGTAAGGAAAGTTTCCTTGTCTGTGTGACTTTCGGTATCTTTTGAATCATTTTCTATAACCTCATCTTTTGGTGTTTCAGAGATTACACTCTCGAAGTCACCCTTTTTGAAATTTGTCGATTCGAGATTAGTGGCATTCGATATTGCGATTAAGTTACTCGTTTTTGACACGCTTTCGAAATATTCAACGTCGTCTAATACACTTGATGATCGAGGTGTAAAGAACCTTTCACTTTCTTCACAGTCTTTTGTTTGTGTTGTTTCTGCTACCGGAACATCATTACTTTTCTTAACGAATGAGATATCATCAATGTCATTTTTCATGAAATGTGTTGATTCAAGATGAGTAACGTGCGTTATTTCTGTGACGTTTTTATTTGTTATCTCGCTTTGATAGAATTGTATTTCGCTAATTCTACTCGATGATTTTGGGGTAAGGAAAGTTTCCTCGTCTGTGTGACCTTCGGTATCTTTTGATTCATTTTCTATAACCTCATCTTTTGCTGTTTCAGAGATTTCACTCTCGAAGTCACCCTTTTTGAAATATGTCGATTCGAGATTAGTGGCATTTGAAGCTTCGATTAAGATACACGTGTTTGACTCGATTTCGAAACATTCAAGTTCGTCTAATACACTTGATGATCGAGGTGTAAAGAACCTTTCACTTTCATCACAATCTTTTGTTTCTGTTGTTTCAGCTTCCGGAACGTCATTACTTTTCTTAACGAATGAGATATCATCAATATCATTTTTCTTGAAATGTGTTGATTCAAGTTGAGTAACGTGCGTTATTTCTCTGACGATTTCATTTGTTATGTCGCTTTGATAGAATTGTAATTCGCTAATTTCACTTGATGATTTTGGGGTAAGGAAAGTTTCCTCGTCTGTGTGACTTTCGGTATCTTTTGATTCATTTTCTATAACCTTATCTTTTGGTGTTTCAGAGATTTCACTTTCGAAATCACTACTCTTGAAATATATAGATTCGAGATTAGTGGCATTCGATACTGCGATTAAGTTACTCGTTTTTGACACGCTTTCGAAACATTCAAGTTCGTCTAATACACTTGATGATCGAGGTATAAAGAACCTTTCACTTTCTTCACAATTTTTTGTTTCTGTTGTTTCATCTTCCAGAACATCATAGCCTTTCTTAACAAATGAGATATCATGATATTCACTTTTCTTGAAATTTTTTGATTCAAGATGAGTAACGTGCGTTATTTCGTTGATGTAATCGTTATGTTTGCAATGGATGTCTGGATTTGAAGGAAATGTTTTAATTTTATTGGAATCTTTGAGTTCTGTTGACTTGTACTTTTGATGATCATCGTTTGTGTGTTTTGAGGTGTGCGTCTGGAAATGAGTTGACTGAAGATTGGTAATTGCTGAGATTTGTATCAAGTTTCTCGATTGTGGCTCGCTTTGAAAACACTGAATTTCGTTATGTAGGTTTGTTGTTTTCGGCGAAAATTGTTTGGCATCTTTTTCAACATCTTTGTGAATGTTTTTGCAGTAGTCATATTCAATGTTATTGATCTTAAAACATGTTGGTTCAAGATTGGAAAATTGGTTTATTTCTATTAGACTTTTGGTTTTTGTTTGACTTTCAATAAATTCCAATTCGCTCTTTATGTTCGACATTGATGGCGTGAAAAAGACTTCGCTTTTCTCGAAATCGTCACTTTTTGATGATTCATATTCTGGAACTTTATCTTGTTTTTGTTTAAAAGAGGTATTGGCAATATCATGGATCGTGAAGCTTGTTGGCTCAAGGGTTACAATTAAAGATAACTGCAGTAAGTATCCAACTGGCTTAATGCTTTCAATGATTTCTTCTTTGCTGCTTATATTCGATATTTTAGATTTGAGATATATCTCATTTTCTCGTTTCGGTGTAGCACCTTCTTGAATGAAGTATAAATTTTGTGAGAAATGCTCCTCGTGCATATTAATATTAACTGCCAAATGTTTAGATTCAAGATTGGTTTTTGTTTGGATTAAGAAAATGACGTTATTCCTTTCAGTCTCTTTTAAAACGTCTTCGATATTTACAATATATGATGATGTAAATGTATTTAAATTTTGACTGATTTTAGTTGGAGATTGAGATATATTTTCATCTATGTTCCTTGGCGTAATGTCACTGTCACCATCATTTTTAGGGGCAGTTATACATACTGATTCAAGAATAGTAGTAATTTCTACTGCTCTAAGTTTTTCGTGTCTAAAATTAGTGATCGTACTCTCTGGCATAAAAAATTCATTATCCTCTTTACGGTTATTATTAAAACTCTCCATAGATGTATGTTCTTCACTGGGATTCAACTTTGTAGATTCTAAGCTTGTTTCTCTTGATATCTCCTTCTCTGTATTTTTGTTGTGTGATGCTTGTTTCGTTTCCTTTGTAGAGCTTGAAGATATTGTATCTTCTAAATTTTTCTGTGAATCCTTAAATTTTGTTGATTGAAGGTATGTTTCTGTGGCAATTCGTAATACTTCTTGTTTTTTTCCCAATTCAGGAAAGAGCTGCATTTTTTCATTGAAAATTATTTTCTTTTTTGGAGAAAATATGCTGGTTGGATATCGTTTCGAAAACTCATGATCTTCAGAGTGAATATCAGGGGACTGAAAACTTTTCTTACAAAGTATTTCTGCTGTGATAGGAGAATTTGTTCTAACTTCCTCAAACTTGGTTGACTCCAAATTTATTTCTGAAACGAAGTAAACTGGTACGAAAAGTTCCTTACTTTCCTGAAAAAAATGGAAACTTTATTGAAGTCATACTAATAAATTATTTTTATTACCTGCTTTGACGGCTTTTCAATGCGTGTCATTTGACTATTATTCGTTACAGTTCGAATTCGTTCCTTTAACATTTCTACTTCTTCGTCAGATAATACAAATCTCATAGATTCCAAATGTGTTTCTATTGTAGCTTTTACAATTACATCTTTCTTATTCAAACATTCCAGCATAGCTAGCTCAAAATTAAAAAAATTAGGGTTGGGATTACAATATATCTGTGTCTTGTTATCTCCAGTTTGTGATATGCTTCCATGCCTAGTTTGGATTAAATATTCAACATGGTCAATATTTTCTTCTCTTTCTAAGTCACCTTCAATCCATGATAAATCTTCAGCGGAGCCGTGTTTTTTCGACTCAAAGGAGAGGTATATATTCTCTGAAGTAGCTTTTTCGCTATCAGTGTCTTCAGTCAATGAAATAGGAAGGAAGTTTTTTCGTGTATTACTTTCAGTTTCCAGTAAAGGAAATGTAGTTGTTTCTAAATTAACTTTTAATGTTAACTCATTAATTATTTTATTTCCAGATGAGAATTCGTTTTTAAGCAATTCGATTTCTTCAACCAACTTTATATCGTCTTGAGTAAGGAACACTTCACTTTTTGTAGTATCACAATTATCATTTACATGAAATTCTGTCAATTCTGAACTGGCATGCCCGTTATCAACTGAATTAATAGTTCTTGATTCTAGATGTGTTTCAATTATTAAATCATTTATTGTACTTGCTTCATTCAACTCTTGTTTTTGTAATACTGCCAATTCTCCCGCTATACTTTCTTTATCAGGTGTTAGATATAAGTTCCCGCCTTCACCTTCACTTTTAATGTGTGTCAAGTCTTCTTGTGATAGATTATTGAAATTGTCCATTTGATTAAAACTTGTTGACTCCAGGTATGATTCGATTAAGACTTTGGTTATTGTACAAGTTTCAGATAGGTACCTCTGCAATAATTCTATTGCATTAATTATACTTTGACTATCCGGTGTAAAAAACGACTCGTCAGTTAACTCTTCCTTTTCTAGTTCTATGTGCATACATGATGCTGGAATAAAGAGTTGTCTACTGGAAGCATTTTCATCTTCTACTGGATTTGTTACTCTCGATTCTAAACTTTCTGCAATGTTTACTTCAATTATGCATTGTGGTCGATTTGAAAGTTCTTTTTGTAACAATTTTAATTCCTTTATGCTGGCTTTTGATAACTTTTGAGTTTGTTCAAATTTAATTTTAGTTGTGTTGCATTCATTAGATTTGTCTTTCTCAAAATTTCCTTCGTCAGTCAAAGCTGCTTTTTTCAGATATTTTGTTGCACTATCATTGTAAATATCTATTGTATTAAATGATGTTGGTTCTAAATGTGTTTCAACAGCAAGCTCTGACAAAACAGATGTTTCATGGGTGATTTGTATTAGTTCTCTGTCACCAGAGAAGCTGTCTTTATCTTGTGTAAAGTACAATTCGTCTCTTGATATACTTTCTTCCAGGGCACTTTCGATAGACGAAAATTCCTTAGCGAAATTCTGAGTTCTAGTATGGTCTCTACTCTCTGCTTTAAACATTGTTGATTCTAGATGTATTACAACAGTAACTTCAGTAGTCAAATGTGTATTGAATAATTGATGATATCCACGTATCAATGCAATTTCATCAGTTGGTTTTATTATACCAAATGTTGGTACACAACATTCATCGGTTGAGACATACTCTAAGTCATATTTTCCACCTTTTCTAGTGGCGGCTTCCTTTAGTAAGTTGTTCTCATATTCCATTGAATGGAATACTGTTGATTCTAAATTTGTTTCTATCATTAATTCGGTCGATATATATTTATCAGTTAGGTCCTTTTCTCTTATTGGTTCCATCTGTTTCAAATAACTCTTGTTATCAAGTTCAAAATACGACTCATCTGATGGCGTGTGTTCTTTTTTTAAAGTTACGTTGTTATCTAATGTCTTAAATACTGTTGATTGTAGATTTGATACAATACTCAGCTCATTTGCTATATGTGATTTAGGTAGTGCTTGCATCAATTCAATTTCATTGCCATAGTTTTTGTCATCAGGCGTATAGCATACCATGACGCTTGAAGCACTTTCTTCAGAATTACCTTTAGAGGTCAATATATCAATGGGGCATTCTTTCACTGGATTTTTTTTACCTTCATGTAAACTGAACATTGTTGATTCTAAAAATGTTTCCATTGTTAGTGCAGCTGCTACCTGAATATCAGTCAAGTTTTGTTTTCGAAACAATTCTATTGTATCAGTTAGACTTGGATTGTCCAGAGTATAATTTTGGTCTTCCGGGAGTATATTTTCTTTAGAGTCATTTTTGGTATTCCATTTAATTGATTGGTATTCATGAGAAGAATCAGCTTTTAGCGGATCCTTGTCTAGTTCTATATGCATACTTGATACTGGAATAAAGAGTTGTCTACTGGAAGCATTTTCATCTTCTACTGGATTTGTTACTTTCGATTCTAAACTTTCTTCAATTTCTACTTCAATTATGCATTGTGGTCGATTTATAAGTTCTTTTTGCAACAATTCTAACTCCTTATATAAACTGTCTTTATCCGGTTTATGAAACAAGCCATCTTCTTTGGGTGGATATTCAAGATAGGCTCTACTGTGTACTGATAGTTCAATGTTAGGCAGTGGTTTAGATTGCTTTTCAGCTAATTGAAATGTTAATGATTCAAGGTCTGTCTCAATATTAATATCCGTAATTATTTGTCTCGCATTTGCAAGTTCATTTTCATTGGGTTCACTATTTGCTACTACAGTTTGAATTGGATACATTGTTAGTTCGTCCTTTTCATTTGTAGTATTGAGTTTGGTTGATTCTAGGATTTTTTCAATTGTTATTTCATTTAATATTTCTGTGCCACCTACTAAACTTGATGTAGTTTTTTCATTATATTCATTTAAAGATTTTTCGCTAAAGTAACCAGTATCAGTTAGAACAGGCGATTCAAATACTTCTAAATCTATTATTTTATTTATAGTATTTGTTGTGCCGCTTGCGTCGTTGCTTTCATCGCAACTATTTTCATTTAAAATTTCAACATCATCAATTTTGTATTCTTCTGTTGCTAAATCCGAACATTTTTCAGAAACAGCCAGCTCTGGGCTGCTTTTACTACTGAGATGAGTGTTTTGACTAGACGAACGACTACTCTCTTCATACTCATCATCGGCATCATATATTGGAAAGCTCATTACTGCTTTAGTCCATCTTATTTCGGGGATGTTTTCTTCTTTTGCTTTATTAAATTCTACTTCCGGCAGGAAACTAATGTCCTCGGACAAATCGAGTGGTGAAGATAAGATTAATGAATTATTCTGAACTTTATACATTATATTTTCATCTCCAGATGGTGAATTTTTAGTAATATTGTCATTAATACTAAAAGTTAATTCCTCTAAAGTACTTCTTCTACTTCTGTTGGGACTAAAATATATTGAATCTGAAGAGAAGCTTTCATAATCGTCGGAATCAGTTGAGTCTTCACTAAATTTGTGTTTCGGTTGTAAACTTTCCTCCTTAGAGAAAGAATGTTCATGAGTTGTTGATACAGAGTGAGTACATTTTAAGTTATATCCGTTATTTATGGAGTTTTGAGTGTTTTGCTGTTCTCTGGGACCTTCAGTATTTTTATCCTCCTTTTGTAATTTGTTACCTTTAACATCACTTTTTCCCTGATATTTATTGTCGAGAATTATTTCAGAGCACTTTGAATCGTTTTGCTCAAAAATAACTTTATCAATTGAATTAGAAGTTTCCACTATAATCAGAAATTCATTATTTGCTGGTAGCAAATCAGAAGAGTCGAAAATAATATCTTTAGCACTATTTACTTTTTCTATTGAAGAAGGGTCATCCAGTTTGCTCATAGTTATAATCGGTTCGGAAATTTGATTTTCAAATGATTTATTAATTTCCTCTGTTAATTCAAACACCGTACCAGAAAGGGATAATGGGTTGTCTTTGATTACATGAAAGTCATATGAAGGCTTAATAGGGAATAAATGATTATAGTCAAGTTTGCCCTTATCAAGAGATGTCAAACTAGGAGTACTACTGCGAGATGAAGGTTCACTACTCATGTAATATGGGGTATCTCTAGGGGTAGAATTTGCACTAGTACCATAGGGCAAATACAACATTCTATTACTAACAGTGGAAATACGATCTTTTAGAGCCTTCACTTGGCGTGTTAGTTCCTGTACAGAAAATGTTATATCGTGCAGATAAGAGTGTGCAAAGACAACAGATAAGGTGCTTTGTGAAGCCGTCGAAAATAGTTAGAAGACAGTAAGATATGGAAAGCTTCATGCCACACGAGAAAAAAACACCAAACAGTAGAGTAAGCAAATGGGAGATAAAGTATGAAACACTTACTTGAGTTTCAGCAATTTCTTTGCGAATGTCATCAAGAGATTTTGGCACTTTCTCTCCACCAGAAGTTTTCTTTCGAAGGGTTGCTTCTGCTTGAGCAAGTTTCGTTTTCAAATCATCAATCTCTCTCACTTTAGCCGTTTCTTTTGTACTTTGTGTTCTTAAGGATCGGCAATCATTGTTAAGTTGATCCTTCAGTTCCTTTAGTTCTGCTATGAGTGGCCCACATAACGGAGATGGATTATCACACCTCATTTTGCTTCTCGCATCTCTTTCTTTTCTTTGTGCTATAGCAAGTGCATCTAGCTGCTTATTTACTTCTATCAATTGATGTTGCTTCACTTTAAGTTTTTCAACAGCAGGAGCTTCTTCTAAAACAGAATTTGACATTGTTTTTTGTAAATCGTTAAACGCACTCGTAACACTTGTTAAATCTTTCTGACAGTCCTTCCATGATTCCATAGCTGACAATTTTTCAGGGAGAGTAGTTTGTAAGACAGAGTATTTCTTGTCAATATTCTGGAGCCTTTCTATAACATCCAACGATTGGGGTTGTCTTTGCAGCCGCTCAAGAGCAAGTTGAAGTTTGTTTATATCTTCTGAGCGATTACTGACTTCTACTATTGCTCTTTTTACTTGAGCTGACTTATTTTGTAGTTCGTTTGAGTTTTTCCAATCTTCAAAAGGCGTTGTTGAACTTTCGACATTCGCGAGCCATATTTCAAACTCATTTGCTAGATTTTCTGATGTTTCATATGCATCTTTCGTTTCCTTTGCTTCCTTTAGCTGCTTCTCAGCTGCTGACTTTATGACTTTCCACTTGTCACTAATATCTGCCATCGACCTCTCTAAGGGTAACTTCGCGAGTGGAGAAGCACTCTTCAGTAAAATATTAGCTTTTGCGTTTAATTCTTCAAACTCAATTTCAAATTTAGGGAATTCTGACATTAATTCATCAACATCATCGACTGATTTCAACACATCAGATGGTGGCTGTGATAAGGTTTTACTGGCATTCTCTAACCATAGTTTCACATTTTGAAATCGTGTTTCAAATTCACTTTGAATAGTTTGAACATCTTTTAAATCGTTTTGAGTGTTTTCAATAGCTTTACAAACTTCTAGGTATTTTTCTTCTATTGACTTAGCTTCTTCTACAAGTTCCATGGGAATATTGGTCCTGTCTACTGCAGCATGGTAATTTTTCATCTTTTCTTTCATTTCACTTTCCAAAGTTTGCTGTCGTTCTAGTTTATCTTTTGGCTTCAAACCTCTTGATATCGATAGTTGATGCAATTTCAATTGAATGGTGTCTAGTGATTGCTTAATCGTATACAATGCTTTTTTCACATTGTCTCTCTCCGCCAGTGCAGCTTCCAGTGTATTCAAATTTTCTTTAACGTTTTCCTTATTTTCCTCGTAAGAAGCCAAAACAGTCATCAGTTTATTTTGTAATATGTCTTGGGAGTCATTATTATCTGAGAATTTTCCTATCAAGGATTGAGCATTCACTTTTAAATCTCGTATTTTCGGCTCCATGCTAATAATATTTCTCTCTGCCTGTTTTATCTTATAAAACTGTTCAGTTAATTCATTCATGTCTATATTTTGAATATCTGTAGTTAAAAGAGAATCAATATCTTTGAGTGAAGTAGTTATTTCGTCTGTATCGCTGTTCCAATCTTTCCATTCGCTTGCCAACTGATCTGCTGCATCTTTACCCTCTCCAACTTGATTAAGAATTGCATTCCAAGTTTTAATAGCTGATAAATAATCTTGAAGCTCATTTTCGCTTAAATGTGACCGTAGTTCAGCTGCGGAGGACTTTAACCGTTCTACCAGGGGCGAATACTGAGTTATAAAGTCAACTGCTTCTTGCCATTCCAAAGCCAGATTTTTAGCATGCTCTGCACTCGATGGGGAATGGAGAGTTGAACACTTTTTCAATTTATCTTCACAATCTTTATTTGTTGATTTTACTTGGTTTAGTAGTTCTGAGAAAGTCTTATTAGATTTATTCTCAGTCTCGAGTTGTCTTTCTTTTTCCTTTGCACTTTCAACAGCAGATTTGATTCTGTCACGCATACCCTCTACCATTTCATTAATAGTTTGAGAATCGTTGAGGTCCAATGACCTAGTCAGTTGATTAGCAACCTCTTCTAATGACTTTATCTCAGCTTCTTTAACAATTTGATTTCCAATCACAGGTCTTACCATTTCTAAAGTGCTGTTTGTTGATCTAACAATAGCTTCAGATTGTCTAACCCAATCCCTTATATTTGAAAACATTTCCTCAAATGATTTTCGTAACAGACATGCATTGTCTAAATATTTTCTTTTTTCAGCGACACTATCTGTCAGTTCTCTCTGAATGGTTTCAATTTCTTCTAATTTATCACGAATGTCTAAAGGAACCATTTCATTAAGGTTTTCAAAATGATTCTTTTGAGTTTGCCCTTTTATTACAACATCTTCTAATCGATATTCTATTTCAGAGACGCGTTTTTCAAATATTTCTCTGTCTGCAATTGCCTCTGCCAAATCAATTGGTAATGGTGTTTGTTTTTGTAAACGTTTTAACTTGTCCTCCAGCCAAGATATATCATTGGTTAGAGCCTGATCTCTCTCTTCTCTTTCTGATATAACAAATCGGACAGATCTACCCCTCTCCTCGGCATTACTTTTCAAGTCAGACATTTTCTTTTGCAAGGTCTCCATTTGAGACGATATTACATCCTTATCAGCTACTGTTCCATCAGCTTTAATTTGCTCTCCTCGATCTTGTAATATTCCTAATTGTGGATCTTTTGCGGCTATTGTTTCAAGGACAGCTTCATATCGATCTAATTTTGTGTGAACAGGAACACCTTCATATTCTACAGCCTCAATTTGTTGATACATTTGATCGATAACTGTTTCAATCTCTCCTCTATGTTCGGCATATGTCCTTCGTAGAGCTGCCGCACTTTTAAATTTCGACAGAAGCTGTTCGCAAGCATTTTCTACATCGCTACTGAGTTTAACAAGTTTTGTCATTTCCTGTTCTGTTCGTTGGTGTCCTCCCTTCGAAAATTCCGATAAAGAACTAACTGTCTCCTCAACTTGAGGTTTATAATCTCTTAATTCCCTTTCCAGTCTCTCTGCTTGAATAAGAAGTCGACGAGCACTTTCTTGACTGGGCCCTATGGGAGCTTTTGAAAGTTTTGTTAGCTCATTTAATTTGCCAATTAAAATTTGTTGCACTTCTGTAATTTTGCCTTCTGTTTGAGAGTGAGTATGCAAAGCCCGTTCAATATCTGCTTTTCTCTGCTCTAAGGTGGATTTTAGATATTCAACATTCTCATATTCGTTTCCAATGCTTTCAAGAATCTCGAATCTTTGAGAACCATTAATTTCGGAAGCTCTGTCTCTGATAGAATCTAGAGCCGTCATCATTTCATCAGCCGTACGAAGGAGATTATCATGATATTGTTTATCAGATTCAAGAGAGCCTACGTTAATGTTTTCTATTACTAGGGGTTTTAAATTAGAGCTTGTTTCTTCTAACCATTTATGAACAGTTTCAACATCTCCAGAAATAGACTTTAGGCTGTTTAGAGATTTTTTGTTTTCTAGAGTACTCTCTTCAGCTAAACACTTAAGTTCATCATACTGATCATTCATCTGCTGCAGGCGATTCAATAAATCTTCTCGCTTTTCTACAGAACAGAGTGATGCTATAGTAGCAGTGTCTCTCTGTAATTTTTCGATTAGAATTTTATGATCTTTTATATCATCTAGAATAGTTTTCATTAGATTAGCCTGTTCAGTAACTGATTGAGGATTTTTGGCTTTAAACAGCAAATTTCTTGAATTGACCAACCAATCCTCAAAAGATTTCATTTCTATTTGAAATCCTTTGAGGTAAGTAAGAGCATTTAGTAACTGTCGTTTCTTATCTGCCACGCTCATCATTAAATTAGAATGCTGGGTGATCTGATTGTCTAAACGCTGTTGTATCATTGTTCTCTCGGCAGACCCTAATTCTAATAGAATAGGAGATTCTCCAGCTTGAATGACCTCTTGTTTTTTCTCAATAATTTCGTTTTCTAAAGCTTCCAGAGCATCAAGAACTAGTTGAACATCATTTGGAGAACTTCCCATAGGTTCCATAGACTCAACGGTTGCTTCAGTAACATTTAGCCAAGCACACAAAGCCTCCAGTTTCTTTGTAACACTATCATATTCAACAACAATTTTCTGATAATTGTTCAAGTTCTTTTCAATTTTAGCTTTGCAATCCACTGCTTTTCTATCTAAATCTGATACTCTTTCGTCTACCAAAATGCCATCATGAGAACTAACTTGATTCTTAATTACTCCAGCTAGATCTTTTAATATATCTATACTTGCTTCTTGTTCGGATAAATACTGAAATGTTCTCTGAAAAAAACAAGGAAATTAATATTTAAGTATTGGACATCTCGATCATAATTGCCACGTGACTAGGATTCAATTAAATAAAAAATTAGACATGTTAATTCATTTATTCCATAAATAATACAGAGTTATTTAAATTCAAACCAGGAAAAATCGCATACATAAATTAATAGCTAAAAATCTAAAAGGAAGAACACGAAAAACTAGAGCTAGATAAACTATTGCAAATATCGTCGCATTCCTCTCTTGCTGGACTTGCAACAATGATGCACGTTGGTGGCATCGGTTGAAATTGTTGAGGAGGCAAACGAATTGGTTTAAAAGTACTTTGGGGATGATCAAAAGGAGCAGCAGGTAAACGTCTTGGACTTAACACATTTTCTGGCAAGTTAGGTAGCCTTCTCTTGCGATCTCTATTTACTGGTGACAATGAAATATTTCTTCGCTGAGCCGTGGGATTTCTTGTCCTTACTTTTCTTTTAGTTTTTGAGGTAGATAAACGGGATGTGTGTTCTTCACTCTGGGCGATATATGGTTGAAGTTGAGATTTTAAATCTCTGACTTGTGAAAGCATAAGCCTCATAAGATTTTTTCTATTGGGATCTTGATTTTTAGTCCCTTTTTTGGGTATATCTTTTATTTGATCTTTCTTTTTCGTATTTTTTCTTTCATGAAAATCATAATGACTTGTTGGGGCTTGTTCGCAAGAACTATTGGCTTCTTGGCTTTCATTGATGGTTTGAGTCGAAGAATTTTTTGGGATTCTTTCATCTTCAGTTGTTTCTACACCAACATTGCAAGAGTTTCTCGATATAAAATCATAAGGGTTATTTTGAACACTTATACTAGGAATAGTGTGTAGATGGTCGTATTGCGTGCGTGAATAGTTTTCAGTAACCTTTTCAGTATCTGCATGTTGGAAAGAATGGGAATCCCAAGTATCAAATGATTTACTTTTCCCAAATATTTTACTACCCTGCTTGGATGATTGAAATGAAAGATCTGTATAGATAGAATCATCCTTTTGTATCCTTTTTGTGTGAGTTTTCGTTTTCTTAATAAACTCGATTGTTTGCTTTTTTATAGTCTCAATTGACGAATTAAAATAATCATCCCCATCAATATTATTAGTATCTTGAAGAATATTATCAATCTCATCGCATTCTATTTGTACAGTAACTGGTCGAGCATCATCTAACAATGTTTGATCAACTGTTGGACTTTCCGCATAACCACTCTCATCGCTTTCTGTTTTTCTTTTTAATTTAGAGCAATGTTGTGGATGTCTTCCTGATATTCTATCTTTATAGGCGTTGTTGACATTAGGTAAGATTCGCCTTAGAGGACGAGTATTATTGCTGGAGAGCTGTAAAAAAAACATGTTAACACTTTCTCAAATTCATTGAATAAAATATCTCAATCACTACCATTTTTTCAAGATAATTAATACAGATCAATTGTTATATATTTTAGTAATGAATTAAATATAACCAAAGTTTGATGATCTATAGACAAACAAGCTGAGAGTGTTTAGCGTCATTCGTTGAAAAACGAGTTTGAAAAGTTAGTCAAGCTGAGAATTATGTGTATGTTTTAGACACTCATCCGATATGTACACTTTCATCCACCATTCACGACCGTCAAAAAAAAAGACACTTACCGTCAGAGAAAGCCTGTGCGCTCCATTCTTCATAAAAATGATAAAAACTGGCGAAGCATCATTTAGCACGTAAATAGGAAAAATGTTCACAAGGAGTTGTTTATTAAAATGCGAGTTTGAATACTTTCTAGGCGCAAACGCAATTTATTAAAGTCACGTGGCAAAAGAAAAATTTCAGAGAAACTTGAAAATAAAGTAATACAGAAAGTGGGTGGTAAAAGGATTACTTGATTCTTACCCGATTTATAAAAACAGACATACAGTCATACTGTTGAAATAGTGCAGTTTCTCAGATACTCTTGCAATGTTGTTAGAAAAAGGATAGAGAAAGAAAATCTTTTACCACCCAACTATATTCTAATTAACTATACGAGCAAGCCGGAAACTACTTACCTCTAGATGTTCTACCCTATTTTTAAGAGGTTGTGAGTGTTTTGATATTCTTTCTGTATCAGTTACAATTGAGTCCAGAGCGCAGGCAACATCACTGCGAAGATCCTCATAAGAACTTGTATCATTCATTAGTTTCGTTCTCGCATTCAATGTAGCCTCGACATCTTCTATCAAGTCATGGTATTTTTCTCTCACTTGATTTGATTCAGATGAATTGCTTTCAATTTGATCATACTGTATTGTTAAGTCATCTATTGCTCGTCGTCGATCGACTAATTCACTTCTGACATCTTGAAGTTTTGATAAATCAAGCTGGGCAGCGTGCCTATGCAACTTTGCTTTCTTTGAGCTAATTTCTTTCAATTCACTTCGTTTTGTTGACAACCACTCTAACAAATTGTTCTTGAATTCGTCTGCATTTTCCCATTTCAACAAAATACCTTTTCGCTTTTCAATTTCGTTTTCGAGTTTAGTCATAGCTGTCAACAGATTACGATTTAAACCAGTTTCTTCCAAAGAAGACTCGCTAAATATGGCATTTGCTGGAGCAGCTGTATACGCAGCTCGAACCAAATTATTTAGTTGTTCTCTGTAATTTCTTAACTTGCTGTAGAAATTCTGAGCTTGAGCTAACTCTTTTTGAATTACTGATACATCTGTTATAAGAGCATCAGAGTGAGTCTCACACCAAACAAGAACTTCTTGATCAATAAAATCATTGCAGTTTCCCAATAAGGACGAATGTTCTCTCCATTTCTTGACACATGAGTTCAGGCGATTCTAAAAATTTTTTATTAAATATATTACAAAACCTTAAAATAATTTTATTAGAGCAATATTACCTTTAATCCAGAAGAAGTTGAATCTAACGCTTCTAAACTCTCCTCAATCTCATTTATCTGAGTTTTAATGGACGAGACAAAATTGGGATGGTTTGTACTAATAACACATAAACTGTTCGCTTTCTCTTGTAAGAAATCTAAAGTATCAGCTTGTGCAGAAATTTCTGTGGAAATAACATCTTGCCTATTTAACTGTTGTTCGGCTTTAGGTAAGGATGTTGCAGCGCCTAAAGTATTAATTTCCCCAATTCTTCCCGATATATTTAGTAACCAGCGTTGAAAGTCATTCAACTCATTTCTGTACTCTAGGTGAGTTTCATAAGCTTTAAGTAGTCCTTCGGAAATTGAAGAGGCTTGTGTCCGAACACGTTGTAATTTGTCTGCCATATCTAATACATTTTGTCTTACGTTTTCGTTCTCATTAAGAGAATGTGTCGTAGCTTTTATCTTTGCTAATCGAATTTCTTGATCCTCGATTTCTTTTATAAATACTTTAGAGCGCTCTACTTGAGTCTTCTTTTCCGATAAATCTGCTGCGGGTTGCGACAATAGCTCGATTTCCTTTTCAGCTTTAGGTAACCAATCTAAAAGTTGAGCATGTTCATCGTCGTAAGTGCTCCATTTGGATCGAGCTAGCTTTAGATTCTCGGTAGTTGTCTTCAATTCAGTTTGTAGTTCATCCCAAGTATCTGAAATATCAGCCATTTCTCTTTCTATTCTAGCCTTTTGTTGACCAATTGGCAAGTAAGATAATAACTTTTGACCATTTTCCACAACATATTGTACTTTCCGCAGTCCTTCATCTTGTTCACTCATTACTCTGGTGGTAATTTGAAGCTTGGAGTCTAGTTCGTCCCAAGATCCATCAGTTGTATTGCGTATCTTTCGTATTTTGTCCAATTCTAATTGGAGCCAAGCTTTGCATTCTTCCACGGCTACTCTAAAAGACTTTTCGTCTCGAAGAGCATCATGAGCCTTTCGGGCACCATCCTACAAAAAAGTTAAAATTTACCTCTAAAATATATGATTTTTAATGAAAAAAGTGATTTAAGTGACATCTTAAAACTTTTTGTGCATGCAAACTTACATAAACCAGCCACTGTTTAAATGATGTAGTTCTTTGAATTTGCAATGATAAAGAAAGAATAAAAATATTCGTACATACCTTAACAGTTGTTTTTAAAGAATGATATCGAGCAGCTAGCTGAAGAACCCCATTTAATTGACTGGGATCAGCTCCTTCTGCAATTATAGTTTCACATTTCTCCCGTAAATCATCTAATTGATTCTCGTGGTTGCAAATATCCTCCAGCACACTATCTAAGTCTCTTTGTTGATCAATGGATAAATTCGGAGAGGAAGGAGCTATAGTTTTTACTTTATCTTCAGAGTCGCAAAGCCAAGTGTCAAAATCTAAGTTTGCATCCTTAAATGCTTCATAGTATCCTCGACAAGTTATTAGATTTTCGTCAATTCTCTTAGATAAAACATGAAGAGAATCTATTTCATCTTTCAATGAATTGAGTTCATTTGTTAACCTTTTCTGTCCTTCTTTTGATGTTCTTCCAAAAACATCCTCACTCAATGATATAATTTTAGTGTAACGTTTGTCTCCCTCTTCTAAATTATCTCTGAGGCTTTCCAGTTCCTGTTGCCGTGTCTCGATTTCACCTAGAGTCGTGGCTGAAGGGGTATCGAGTCTTTGAAGTTCTAGTTTCACATTAGTTACCCATTCTAGAATAGTTTTGAATTCATTTTTATAAGCTTTATGCATGTTTACCATTTCCGTAATGATAGTTAGTTTCTCCCCAACATCATCCCTAACTTGGTTAAATTCTTCAATCATACTTTCGATTTCCTCTGGCACTTTGCCTAGATTATCTATTTTATTTCTAAGGGTTTCAGCTTGGCGAGAATAGACATCAACATCATGTTGAAGGGTTTTCACTTTTTCTAATTCTATTTTCATATTATCTAAGTCAATTGGTAAGGATATCATTGAACTCCTTTTGTGAGCATCTCGCAACGAAATTTGAAGTTGATCGATAGATTTTTCAAAACTTATCCAATGGCTGGCTTTGGTCTCAATTTCAGATTTGGTTGAAGAAACGTTTTGTCTAAGTGTTTCGAAATCTGACTGTAAGTTACTGATTTTTTCCTTGATAATAGCCTGTCCAGGTACGCTGGTTTCAGACATAATTTTCTCTCCTTGCTCCAAAGCATTTCTTAATTTTCTGCTTCCTTGTTCCATGTTCGCTACTAATTCTCTCAAGATAGCTGTCTGATTTTCTAAATTACGACGACTTTCATGAAGCGTGACACTTTCCAATTTTACTAATCCATTATCAACCCAGTTCCGGGCCTCTGATAAGTATTCATCATAGCGTCTGTGATTTTCAGTTTGCATTTGAGAAATTCTAGCTCTTTCTGTAGTAGCTGCAAGTAGATTTTGATATCTGGAAGTGAATTGAGTGCTAACATGTGAAGCTCTTGTATCAGATGAAGAAGCAAGAAGACTTGCTGCAGCCGAATTAAGTTTATCCAGCTCTGACTGATAATGCAGTACATCCTCTCGTAGTTTTGACTTTTCTTCAGATATTTTCTCCTTCTCCTGTAGGTCAGAACCTGAAGCAGAATCTAAATCTTGCATTTCATTGTGTTTATCAGACAACCAAGCCGAAAGAGATTGGTGTGAACTTTCAAATTGTTCCCATTTATTCCAGCAGGCTTCGAGTTCTGCTGCTGCTGATCGAACATTTTCTTCCAGATCTTCAAATTCTCTTTTCATTGTCTCAACTTCGTGTTTAACAGTTATGGAATTTTTAGGTTTAACATTCCTACATGCCTCATCGGCTTTAAGTAATAGACACCTTCCTTCTTCAAGAGAGACAGAAATACTCTGTTTTTAACAACGATGGAAATTTAGACATTTCAAATCTAAAGTAATGAATTTTAAGTTTTATTTACCCGGACTTTTTCTTGTTTAGACAATATAGATGCACGATCTCCGAAACAATCCACACAAGCAGCTAAATGCTCTCTGGCAGTTCTAATCCATAATCTATAACGAGCGGAGCATTCTTCAAATGCCTCATGATCTTGAAGTTCATTCTCGAGTCGATTTAAAATATTCTGGTTGTGCGAAAACGAAATATCTCCGTTATTTAAAAAATCCAAGGTTTATACTACTATTTATGTTGACTTACCGTAACACGATCTTTTAGAGATTCATAGTCTGATTGAGGATCTAAGGTTGTTTCAATTTTTGATAAATTTGAGCATTTTTGAGAAAAAGACTCTAAGACTGGACTATAAGCCGTTATATCATGTTGAACAGACTGTTAAAGAAATACATAGAAGTTGAATATCAAATATTTGTGTTTACCTTAATGGAATGAATATGGCTCTTCTTTTCTCCAACTTCTGGCTTTGTATCATCCCCTATTTGAAGAAGCCGACGCTCAGTCTCTTTTATCCATTTTATTATAGCTGCTTTTGAGTCTTCATAGCTTGTCCATTGAGAATGTCGATTATCTAAAGAAACCCTAATGTCTGATAACCTCTCAGTTACAACATCCCAATTTTTTTGCAGTAGGTCAATTTTTGATCTGATATCCTCACGCCCTATTTAAAGATAAAATTAATATATCAAAATTGGACTTTTTTTAAACTTACCATGAGGCGCTGTAGTTGCCATAGTTTTGTCTGCCCAAGTATGAACGCAACGTATCTTTCCTGAGACATCTCGTTCATTATTTTGCAAATGTGTTAAACGATCCAACTGAGCAGCTATGAAAGCCCTATCGTCTGTTTCTAAATTCTTCTCTATTGAGTCTAGTTTATTTTCAACATGTGAAAGACTTGCTTGAGCCTCCTTAAGAGCTTTCTCAAACTGTTCGTGATCAGAAACATGCTGTTGGGATCGCTTCAATGCATCTGTCACATGCGTTTGTAAAATAGAATGTCTTGCAGCTAAGTGTGAAACTTTCGAAGTTAGCTTTGTATCTCCAGCTAGTTCTGAGTGTGCTTTCTCTGAAATTTGTTCAATATTGACTTGTTTGCCTTCTACATCTGCTAGTAGATCACTGAGGCGGTTAACTGAAGAAGATTTTTCGTTCAATGTTGTTTTGCTTTGCTGTTCGCTTTTTAATTTAGTATCGGCTTCGTTCAACCAAGTGGACATATTTTCTAGGTCGTCACTAACCTCTGTCCAACTATTTGCTGCTTGCTCTGTTTTTATTGCAGTTTCTTCTACGTCTTTATCCAACCTATTGAGTAAATTTTTAAGCTCTGTTAATTGCTGTTCTACTGCATCCTTTCCAGATTGAGATGTATTTTGGAGAACAGCAGCTGCCGTGTCCTCAACTTTAGTTACTTTTTCATGTCCTATGCTCTTCATTTGAGTTAATTCCTTGGCTTTATTAAATCTTGTATGCAGAGTTAATCTATCAGTGCACAAGTCCCGACATTCTGATAGTTGTTGAGAGGTGGATTGAATCCAGGAATGAGCGTCTGTTAGTGATTGTTCAAATTTCTCATGATCGTTAACAAACCTTTCAGACTTTGAAGAGTATTCCCTCAAGGTATCTAAAATCATATCATATTCTTTAGCCAATTTTTCAGCTTCATTTAAAATTGTGTCATCTTGAACACATTCTGACACGAGACGACCCCTTGAGATTAATGTATCTACATTACTTTGCTGAGCTATGGCATTGGCCTGAGCAAGTCTAACACGATCAACTAAAGCTCTCTTTTCGTGTAAATTTGAGGGTAGGTGAGACATAAGTTGCTTAAAGCTATTATCTGTTTCCCTTAAATATCTTCTAACAGTCGATGCGGATTCATCATAAAGCAGCCAAAATGAAGATGCATTTTCCATTCGAGTTCTTGTTTCATTTAAAGTATTTAATATTATATCCCAAGATTTCTGTAATTTTTGAACGGAGGCACGAATTTCCTCTTTACCTGTCCCAGAAGTATTTGGTAAAACTGAATGAGCAGTATCGTGTAGTGAACCAATAAGAGTTGATCCCTCAGTTTTAAGAGCAACTAATTGACCTAATTTATCTAATTTTCTCTGAACAGAGTATTTATCAGCAGTCGGAGATGAGCAATCTCTGAGCTGTTCGTCAATTTCTGATAACCAAGATGAAAACTCTGTTATCTTCTCATCTAGATCGCAATGGTCTTTTGCATACTGCTTCCACCTTGCACAGGACTCATTTACTTTTTGGCATAAAGTTTGATAAGCTGACATTGTTCGAGAAGTAGAATTTGTAACAGATTTTTCTTGACATTGTCGAGCTATAATTTGAGCTTGATCACTTAGCTTATCCATATCCATTTGCTTTGACCTTAAATCTTGTTGTAGATTTCGTAATTTTTCACTTATTTCCTCTTTTTCGATACGTTTATCTGCGAGGTCCATACTTTGAGACAACTGATTTTCCGTTTTCCTGAGGGTTTGACTACAGTCATCTCGAATTTGTTCATAAACAGTCCAATGTTGAAGACAGCGTTCTAATTCGGATTTAGCTTTTACAATATCTGACTGTATGGAATCCCACTCATTCTTTAATGCTGATACTTGCTGCCTAATTGCACTAATACCACTTGCAGTCGATCCAGCAATGACTCTTTCAGCAACGAGAGAAATATTGTTAACTCGTTTCAGACCCTCGTCCTTGAAAGTTTCAGTTTCCTATTAATAAACAATAAGTAAGTAAGAAAATCGATATGTAGTTTAAGAATATAGATATTGAAAGGAGAAATCAGAATATTTTTTGTGACAGCTTAATTTCTAACTAACAGAGAGTTAAAAACACACACAAAATTAGTTTTATGACTTACAAAACGAGCCTGGATTGACATGTTTTAAATTTTGAAAATTAAAACAATACTCATTCGAAATTCATGAAACAAATTACCTGCAATCTATCCAATTTATTCTTTATGACGTGAGAATCACCAGTTGGATTTGAACAAAGTGTTAATCTTTGCCTTAGTGAGGCTAACCATTGATTAGCTTCAGCTAATGCGTTTTGAAATTTTTCGTCGTCTTCAACGTAATTTTCACATAAATTAAGTCTTTCCTTCACAACAGAAGAAAGTCTTTCATGCTTGTTCCGCAGTTGGGCTATATTTTCTGCGGGCGTGGGATCTGTTTCTAGTAGAGATTGAGCTTTTTCTTCTAATGTATCCAAAACTCGCATCAACGAAGTCAGGTCATGATTTGTACTTCTTAAATTTACTAACTCACTTCTCTTTTCATGTAGAGTTGCAAAGAGAGGGGACTCCTCGCCCATTTGTTGTTCAATCTTCTTGAGGGTGGAAGTTATTTTTTCAATACTTTCCTCTAGTGAGGTCCATTGAATAAAAGATGCTTCGAGAGAACGTTGTTGTTTATGAATTTCATCATACACATCCTCATACGAACTTCGTAAAGCGCGTATTTTTTGTCTAATCGATTCTCTTCCCTCAGGTGCTGTATGTGGATATAACTTTTCTCCAGCTTCAATAACATCAGCCATACGGCTTGAACCACTTTGTATTTGAGATACTAAGTCCTTAAGCATATTCTGCCTCGCAGCTAAATCATAACGATGAGAAGAACCAGCAGAAACGGGCCTTATCAACTTTGTCTTTATTTCCTTTATCCATTTCTCAAAGTCAGACATTTTAACTTCGAATAGTTCATGATCAATGACATTTTCATGAGATCTTTTCACTTCATCTTCAATTCTAGCTTTAAGGTTTGTATACCTATCTCCTAATTGCTCAATGCTGGTAGTTATTCTAGCATCAGTCGTACTGAGAGACCCTTCCGATAAAGTCCTAGCACGTTGCTTCACCTCATCCACTGATGGCTGTAGCCGTTTGGTTTGTGCTAAAAGGTCCTTTAAATATGGAAAAGAGTTTTAATATACTAATAGGTTTTTTGTACTTATTTTATATTACCGATATAGTGTTTTTCAATTTGATTTTTTCTTCCAAAGTGTTGCTGACAGAAATATCTCTGATTTGTCTTTCAATATCTCTAAGTTCTTTTTCTAATTGTTCATTAATAAAAGAAAATTTATCCCAATCTTCTTTATGTTCTTTGAGTTTGTTTAATATATCCTCAAGATGACACAAAAATTGTATCCAAGAATTTTCAACGGTTTCTACCTCCTCTTTAAATATAGACTTGCCTGATTGATCAGTTGAACTCTGAACTGTTTGCAACATATTTTTCAAAGCGTGAATCTGATTTTCCCCTTCGTGTTTGGAATTAAATAAGTTATTAACTTTTTCCAGCTTTCCGATTATACTCAATTTATCAGTCGAAAAGTGTTCACAAGATTGCAGTGTTTCATTTGCAGCTTTCAGCCACTCTTCAACAGTTTGCTTAGCTTCTTCAAACTTTATATGATCTTCAACGGCTTTCCCTGCCAGTTCTACTGCTGATCTTGCTTTAATAAGAAGGTTTTCGTATCTTTCCGTTGCTAACTTGACAAAATTTGTTAATTCATAGTCATGGGACGAAACTGCTGAAGATCTACTTTTTTCCATAATCTTCATAAGAGCTTTGCCATGGCTATCAACGTCATGCATAACTATTTTGTAATCATCCACAATTTGCTTTTTTTCAGGTAAAGTAGCACCTTTTTTAAATCCGTCTAAAGCTTTGTATACTTCTGCAAACCATACATCAAGTTCTTTTTGTAAATCTCGTAATTCTTTTAATTCTTGTTGGACGGCTGTTAGAGATCTTTGCGAAGAGATTAACTCAGACCGATAGGCATCCCAAGTTTCTTGGGCAGTACGTAATTGTTGGCGTATCTTATTTCGACCTTCATGAGATGTATCTGAATATAAGAGCTCTCCAGCAGAAAGGGCATTTTGAAGTAAACTTTGACCTGTAACCTCACTCTCCTTCAAAAGTAGATCCAAATTCTGTGATCTTAGTTTGACATCATCTGTTTCGCCCTGAGATTTAGCTTTATCTAGCTTGGCCTTGGACGTTTTTAACCAGTCTGTTAAATTAAAATATTTTTCCCTGTACGAAGAGTGATCAGATACAATTTTCTTATATTTCTCACAAATGTCTTCAACTTCATCACGTAAGTTATCATATTTATTTCTTAAGATGGAAGTTGACTGTAAAATTCTACTTTCTCCTGAAACACCCTTTAGCCTTTCACTGCTAGCTATAATTTCATCCATTTCACTTCTACGTGACAGCAAGTCTTGATGAATATTTTTATAAGCTTCAAGTTGCTTTTCCTTTTCTTCCAAAGTTGAACCTAATTGTTGGTTTTTAATTTGATTTTCACATGATCTTAACCAATCCATGAGAATCTGATAAGTTTCATCATAAACTTGCCAATTTGCTAAAGCTCGATGTAGCTTGTCCGATATTAGTTCAATTGTATCATTCAAGTCTTCCCAGCTATGCTTCATATCATTAACTTCTCGCATTATTATATCTTGACCATTGACAGTCGTGGTGTCTAACACTGCCTTTGAAGCGGTTATAGCTGCTTGAACCAATGTACTTCCTTCGTGTTTACGTTCATCTATTTCCTTTATTTTCTCTATTTTATGCTGAACAGCAAACTTGTCACCAGAAACATCTTTACAAGAGCCTATTTTATCGAAGCAATTTTTAAGCCATTCATTTCCCCCTCTGTGTTTTTCTTCATATTCTTCATGTAATGACACAACATCAGCCAGACCATTTAATGTCTTGTCATTTAAATTCAATAAATGATCGTATTGTTTTTTAAGACTGTGAACTTGCTTAACTGCTTTAGATTGCGGGCCAGCGATAGATTCTGCCTTCTCAGCTAATGAATCAAATACATGCTGCCTTGCTACAATATCAGCAAAACGGGAACGATAATTTGAAAGAGATTCTTTTTTCTCGTCTAGAGTAGTATACTTCTCCTGTATTATTTTGCGAATAGCAGCCTCTGATTCTTGAAGCCATTGAGCACTTTGAGAGGCTGATTCATCATAAGACGTAACTTGAACTCTTGCACCATCCAGCCTCCGTTGAACATCTGTTAAAGTTGAATTAATATTTTCCCATTGATCATTAACGTTACGAAGCTGCTGACGAATAAGTTCTCTTCCTTCAGGAGATGTTGATGTATATAAACGCTCTCCATCTCTTAAAACATTTTGCAATTTTTCAGATTTACTATCCCTTTCAAATACAACTTCAATAAGTCTTGACTCTTGTTCATCAAGTGATACTGTGTCAGATGAAGAGGTAGCACTTTGCTTGCATTTTGAAGCTTGTTTTTCGAGTTCATTCAGCCACTTTGATATGCCTTGTTCCTCAGACAAAAAGTTTTCATGTTCTTGTAAATTCAATTCTGCTTGTTCTAAATTGTCGAAAACTTTTGCCTTAAGATTTTTCATGTTTGAGTCTAGAGATTGAAGAGAATTCAACATAACTCTATCTCCAAGTTCAATGGCATGTAGACGAGCTGCAAGAGCATCTAGTTCAGGTTGTTTAGCAGCTAATTCAGCCTGTTTTGCCTGAAAAATTAACGTGTTTGCTTGTGAAAATGCATGGTGATTTGATTGATGGCAATTATATCTAAATTTATTCATTAATCATACGAATCGGACTGATGTGATCAAAAAGCAATTTATGCTGAAATATCTTATAACCAACCCGAATTTGCACCAACTGCTGCAACCTATTACTTGTTGAATCTAGTGACGAACTACTTGCTTTTAGAGCAACAACAGCGTCTATATAAGTTTTTAATCCTTCAACTTTTTTACTCCTGTCGTGGATTTCCCTTTCAAGAACCTACGTTATTTGATAGATTTAAATTATGAAACTTAAATCGTTAAACTTAATCTTTGTTATAGAGACATTGTGAACATTATCATTAAGACGAGTGTTGTAATTCGAAAAATACATAAGGCATAACAAACCTTGAGCTCTAAGACTCGTTCCTTTTTATCAGAAAGTGTTGCTCGTAGAGGCCTTTCTCTCACTTCAGCCTCTGCAACTTTTATCCAACGAAGTAAACTATCGTGTTCCGAGTCAAAATCAGTCCAAGCTTTTAGGCAAATATCTAAAGTCGATTTAATTTCATGATATTTTTGGTTTAGCCGGTCCCATTCAAATTGAACTGCGTCCAATTCGTTTCGCAATTGTTGATGGCCTGCAATAGCTGTATGACTAACAACATTTTCGCAAGCTTTACTTAATTCCTTTAAACGGATCTCTCCATCGGCTTTTTCACTTTCAACCGAAAGTAGTTTTTCTAAGTTGTTTTTAACAGCAAATTTATCGTTACATGTTTTCAAGCAGGATGAAGTTTTTTCTGAAAGAGCCTTGATCCACTCTTTCAATTTTTTTGTGTTTTCTACAAATTTTTCATTTTCTTTTACGCATTTTTCTATTTCTTGCTTTTTATCTGAGACGCTGCTAACTAGTCTTTCATATCGTTGTTTTGCTGCAGCAGCCTTGGAGTTAGCTTGATAACTAGACAAAGACAAGCGCTTCTCTTCTAAAGAATCAATAAGCCGACTGTGCGCATCAATATCATCAGATATATGATTTAGTCGTTCATAAAAGCCTCGTTTTTCTGATAGAGAAGAGCAGTATTCAATAGGAGTCTTTTGATAAACATCCTGCTCGACCTCTGCCAACCACGCCACTAATTGATTATGGTCGGCTTCAAATATTTTCCAGCAATCAACTACACTTTCTGTCTTTTTTTCGCTTTTATTCATATCTTCTTGTAGTTTATTCCATTCATCCTTCAATTCTCTTAACTCTCTTCGTATCGAATCTCTTCCATTAGCAGCAGTGTTAGGTAAAACATTTTCTCCTAAGTTGATGGCATCTTTTATTTTCCTTTCTCCATTTTCTGCTGATAGAGACAATTGTTGTAGGCTTTCTTGTTCCACTGCCGCAGCATTCTGATCAGTACATGGTCGATTTGAAATTCTGTTAAGTTTATCTTTCGTCGAATCTAACCAATCTTTCGCATCTTGCAAACAATTAGAATAAGCTTCGTGACTTTTCTTATTTTCTATACTTTTTTCAAGGGACGAGTTTATACTTTGAGAAAGCGATTCAAATTTTGTAGCAATTTGATTAGCATATGACATAACTCTAACGTCATCTCCACCTTTTTCAGACAACTCTTTCGCTAGAATTTTAAGCTGGTCAACTGATGGTTCCTTTTTTAATATTTCTTGTTCAATATCTTGAAGCGTTTCCACATGGCCCTGTTTCGTTATTAAGGAAGGTAACATCAAAGCCGTTTCTTTACGTACAGAAACATCCACAGATTTAAGCCAACTGTTCAAAGTCTCGTGAGTTTCTTCATAATCTCTCCATTTTCCTATGAGGCTGTCTAGATCTAGTTTGGCTCTTTCGACATTTGTTACATATCTTTGCCATTCTTCCTTTATTTTTGTGGCCTCTCCTTGAATATTCTCTGGCCTGTCATGGATTGCTTCTAAATGGCGTAGATTTTTTAAAGCATTGTCAGTTTTGTCTTTTCCATCTGGTAAAGTTTTAAAAAGTTCGTTGATTGTTGCTAATTTTGCTTCGACACTAAATCTATCTCCTGCACTATCTAGACACCAATTAACTTTATCTGAAGCATTGCACATCCAAACTTGTTGATCTCGTTTTGCTTCAATAGCTCTCTCTTCTAAGACCCGTTTCAAATTTTTCTCCAAAACAGTTGCTCTGGCTAATGCTGCAGAATGCTTTTTCTTGACAACAGTTACATCGGCTGAGGCTATAGTAATTGGTGAATTTGTTTCAAAGCGTTTAGCCAATTCGCTTTGTTTCGAGTGTAGTTCTCCTAACTTTTTTTCCTGATTATTAAGCTCTCCTTGTAGTGTCTTAGCTTCTCTAACCTTCTTAACTAGTTGATCACCGTCTTCTTGAATATCATCTAACTGTGTCAGCTTTTCCCTTACGTCTTCAACCCAATTACTATAAGTATCAACTTCGTCTTCTAGAGCACTTGTTTCGCTGTTTAAATTCTCAACGGTAGCTCTCAGATTTTCATGTATTTGACCAAGTTCAACAATTTGTCCTTCCAAAGTCTGAATGAGTACTTGAATAGATGGAATACTCATATTTTCATTTAATTGTTGTAGCTGGTTTAATTTTAGACTTAAGTCATCCAACAAATGTTCATAATGTCCTCTTTCGTGTTCGTATTTTGAGAGAGAAGCATTAGCAGAGCTGGGTTCTGGCATCCTTTCCTGTAGATTGTTAAATTTTTCGGTCATTCCATTCAACCATACTTTTACTTCATCAGCTTCACTGGTAATACTGCTCCACAAGGCTAATTGTTTTTCTAAAATTTGTTTTCTATTAACTAAATCTTTGTTTAAAGAATCAAAATTTTCAGATGCCCCGCTCACTTCATCCCTAAGTAAGGTTGAATCAAATAGGGGCAACAGAGAAACTGAATTTATAATACTGTTCCCACGAGTAACGACATTTTCCAACTGGGCACAGGCAGTGCGTAAATCCCTCTCCGACATTTGCATTCTTTCCAGCTTGCTCTTTACTTCATCAGCGCTTACACAATATATCGGTTCTTGTATAAAAGGTTCAATGTCGAGTAATGTTTCCCCTAAGGCACTCTTGGCTTCATTATATTGTTTCCAGTGTTTCAAAATATCATCAACCTCAAATCGTTTCTGAACAACTGCCTTATTTGCAGCATCCCACGCAGTCTGAATATTTTCTAATTCTTCATTAGCCCTTGTAGCATGTTCAATGTCTTCTCGGGCTATTCTCCTAACCATATTTCGTAAATGTTGATAGTCTTGGTCATGATCATGTAACCTGTTGTTCAAATCTTCTAATTCATTTTGTATTTGTCTAACTCCTTCCTGGTCAGACTGCTTTACATGAATTCCATTTGACGTGTTTTCCACAGTCTCAGCAACATTAACAAGGTGTTTACGCAACTGATCAAATTCTTGCCACAGTGTTGCTATTTCATTCATTCTTTTTTGCTTATCATCAAGCAGCTTAGAAGCTCTAACAGCACTGACACGAGCTTCATCTAGCATAGTTTGCATCGATAGAGTTCTACGAGAAGATCCTTCTTTTATTACTATTCCAGAAATATTTTCAAGCTCTTCAACATTGGGTCTTAACGTTTCCCATTGTTGCAATTCCCCTCTAATGGTATCTAAATTTGTAGCAGCTCGGTCTAACTGTGTTTGACTCATATCCTCATTGTCCAACTTTTCTGTAATTGCTTGTGTGCGAGCCTGCATTTCCCTGTGAGCTTCTGTCCAAGCTTGCCATTGTAAAAGCAAATCCTCCCTTGCCTCTACCGTGTTATTTACTTCTGTGTAAGTATTTTTTAATTTATGTAACTTTTCCCTTAAAATTTCAGCATCTTCGGGAGTGGCTTTGGTACATAGAGAATTAATTTGGTCTTCAATGACATCCAAAGTAGCTTTCTCATCCAAAATATTTTGATGAGCATTCTAAAATAAATAAGTCAACCTAAGCAACAAATATCTTATATATATTTATACCAACCCTGATTGTTGACAATCCTTCCTCAATATCATCAGTACTTGTTTTACAAGTTTGCTTTAGATTTTCTTTATTTTGTTTCAACCAGCCTTCAAAAGTATTTACTTTTTCTTCCACAGTTTTAACATGTTTAAGTTCGTCGAATAATATAGCTTCTTTCCTCTTAGCCTCCTCCTGTAATTCTTTCCATAACTGAACTTGATTTTCAGTTCTGGCTGAAAGTGATGTTGCTGCAACAGGATCAATAAATTCTTCAATAGCAGAATGCATCGCCTGTAAATCTGCAACTTTAGCATTACTATCATGTAATTTTTCTTCCAACTCTTTATGGGCCTTCAATTCTCTTTCAAGTACGGCTGATTTCACTGAAGGTAATGTTGTTTGACATACTACTGATCCTTGAATATTCGAATGACTATTTTCAAGCTCTTTAGATACAGTGTCAAACACTTCCCATGCTTTTTTAGCTTTTTGAAAAACTGCATCTCTATCGGAAATTTTATTGGCTATTTTATTCCACCGATTTTTTAGCTCCTCTAGTCGAGAATTAACTCCTGGTTCATTTCCAACATGAGATCCTTCATTTATGAATTGTTCGAATAATACTTCATGTGTTGTTAGCTCATTTTTTAACTGATCATGAAGAGAACTTTGCTCCAAACAGTCCTCCAGCGATACAAATCGGGTAGAAGGTGAAATGAGACTCTTTTCTGCACTCTCTAGCCAAGGCATAAGTTGATAGAGGGCTTTCTGATATTCATTCCAATGATCAACTTCTCCACCGAGGACATTTCCGGCTCTCTCTATTCGATCTCTTAATGCTCTCCACTTGGCTTTTTGACTAGAAATTCTTGATTTTACATTTGCTGTTT